ATATTAAAAAAAACCACAACTTGGCCACTTGAATAAATTGCGTTAAAATCTTGCATAATATTAAGAAATTTAAAGATATCATTATATATATAAGCAACCCTTAAAAAAGAACGTAAAGTGCAATTAAGCTTATAAAAGTTATTAAAAAGAACGCGTTATAGTTATAAGCTTGTAATTATGCTTAAATAACTGAGAAACAATATTAACCACAACAAACTGTATAATTGGCTCTAGAATTTAGTTAATATCTGTTACCAATTTAAAGACATTTGAGAGGAATATTAAAAGAAGCAACCTAGTATTATAATTAGTGTTTAGTGGGGGGCCGATGATTATTTACACCATTAATTATTAGTATAAAAAGAAAAAGATATGTAGTAAAATTGGGGCTCAGGGTGTAATAATATTACATTTGAGTTCTATTATAACTTATAGCAACTGCAGTTCATGTTGGAATTATTTCAATTATATATTATTAATTTAAACGTTTTAGTTAAACTCAAAGGTTGTATATTAAAAAAAATAGTTATTACAACTAGTACACTTTTATGAACTTAGCAGTTATAGAAAGAATATAAGGTAGTAGTGAATTTAAAAAATTAGCTAAAAGATAAAATTATAAAACACTATATAGTTGTAGACTCAAACATCTGCATCGCTAATGAAGGCAACTTTGGTGCACACGCGTGTAAGCGGTTTCGGAAGAGCTTGCAAAAATCACCAAAGACAAACGACCAAAATTGAGGCCTTTTATTATTGTTTAAAAGACATTATCAGTAAAATTGCTTTTGTTTCACCCTCGTTGTTGCTATTCAATAAGCGTTGCCTTCTTTATAAGAGTGGGTGTATATGTAAAAAATCTACTTGCGCAGAGCATGTAACGGGAGTTGGAGTTTGCCAAAAAAGGGTTAAAGGAAACAGTATAATCTGAAATTGTATGGCATTAGCAAAGTTTGGTCCGATATTTTCACCTAAAACAATATTTTTAGTAGTTTAACACATATCTCTTATATGATAATCTTAAGTTGTTATAAATTGTGAACAAAATTGGGTGAAAAATGGTGTTTTAAAAAAAGAGACACATTATTTACCTCAATAAATGCTCTTAATGGTTTACAAAGAGCATTGGCTATGGCGGTGTCCTTTTTGCTGCATCCGCTTTCTCGATTATTTAACTTTTTCCCCCAGTCTTTGTTAAAAAACAGCAGATGTTTTATTTATTGTTATAAATTTGCTATAAATATACTAAATTTCAGTGAATAAACATATTTTAAAATGCTTTTGGAAGAGCAGGCTAATCTCACAGCACTTGCAAACTTTGAGTGCTCGGATAGAAGGGCTAGTGTAAAAGAATACTCTCGCTCTGTTTTTCAAAGAGCAATTGCAAAGATATGCAAACATTCTGGGTTTATTCGAATTCAAGCGGCTGCTCTTATATTACTAACAGATATTTTGGAAGCTTGTATTACTTATTCCGTAAAAAAAAATACTTTTCTTTCTGGGATTATTTTAGTTTTGGAAAAAGTTGGAAAGCTCTCCTCAGAGAATGCTTTATTGGTAGGCAGATCTCAGTGCAATGCTCTGGATATAAATCTTGCCTTAGAAAGCTTGGGTTACTATATTATTATTTTATTAAATAATTATATATAAGCGATATTGTTCCCCATCGTTTTGCTATAAGAAATGCTTTATTTTTTGAATTTAGTAACTTCAGATAAGTCGGATATTTCGTTATTTCTTAGCTTTTTTTGTTTAGGATTTAAAAAGGATGACTGGGAAAAACTGTTTGATGAGACCATTTCTGAGTTTGATACAAGTTTTAATTATTTATAAGAAATAAGAGAAATTTTAATTCCCATAATTTTGTTGTTATTCCTGTGTTCTATTATAATTTTTCTAGATGCTATTACATTTCCTTTGACTGTTAAGAAAGAGGAATCTCATCTGCTAATAAGAAAAATAATTTCTCATTCTCAACCTCCTCCATCCTGTAAAGACCTTTTTTTACCACCTTTTCCTCCTGACCACTCTTATAAAAATTCTCCGGTTCGAAATTTTTTTAAATTTTTTTTATTGCTGCAATTTAAAATAAAATTTATTAAATTTAATGTATTTTTTTTCAAGCAGGTCTACAACCCTATTGTAATTGGAGGAAAAAGCACAAGAATAAGAAAAGCTGAACAAATACAACAAATTCAGCAGAGTTTCGCGAAATTTTTGATCAATTCACGACACTCATCTTCACTTCCTTTACGTGTTACTATTAAAGAAATGGATTTGCAACTCGATTACGGTTTTTTATATAAATTTATTTTAATTTAATGTTTTATTTCTAATTAATTTTTTTTAATTTTTAATATATGAATTCTGTTATAAATATTTTATTAAATTTTACTGGAAATTTTTTTATAATTTTATATTTATACAATTATTATATTTATTTAACTTCTAAATTAATTTAATTTGTATATAATTATTTTATTTTTTTTACTTTTTCAATTAATTTTTTTTCCTTCAAATATTATTTTTTATAGTTTTTTTAATAATATTATAGTTTTCTACTTATATATTAGTAAACATTTATTTGAATTTTTGTAAAAAATTTTATTTCTGTTTTAAATATTTTACTTTTTTAAATTTTAAGTATAAATTTATTATTTCGAAATTATATATTAATAAAATTTTTGTATTGTTAAATTTTTTTAGTCTTATAAAATATATATTTATTGATTTTTATAATTTTTTTAATTATATTATTTCTAAATTAATATCTATGTATTTCTATATTAATTATTAATTTAATAAGTTTATGGCAAAATAACTTTTTTTAAAATCTTTTTATCATTTATAACTAAAAATGTTTTTAAAAAGTTGTTTTTAATTCGAATTTTAGTTAATTTAATAAATAAATCTATAAAAAATTATAATTTTTTTAAATAATTTTTATTTTAATTATTTTATCTTTTTATAATTCTTTTCATAGAAAATTAATATAAATATTGATTATTTGGAATTTTTTGTAAACAAATTTTTTTTTATATATTTTTTCAATCTTTTTATACTTTTTTATAGTTAAAAAGAATTTTTAATAGCTTTTAACTTAATAATTTTATAAATTTTATATTAGCGCTTTTATTTTTATACATAACATTTAAATTTATAACTTTTTTTTCTTTGGTGTGGTAAGTGATTTTGGATATTTTAACTTACTTTACTAAATTTATATATGGTTTAATCTTTTCACACAAAATTATTTTGATTATTTTTGAAACTTTTCATATTTTTTTTGCATAAAGTGATTTTAAATAACATTATAATTATTAATTTAATAAATATTATTTATATGATTTTATATTTTAGTTAATTTTTCTAACCTTTTTATTTTTTTTTATGGAAAGTGATAATAAATAATTAATTTAATAAATTTTTTTATTTGGATTAAATAATTTTTCTATAAAACTGAAGCGGTACTTCCAATTAAGGAGTCGTACGTAGCTTCTCTAGCGTCTCACCACGCAATGGACGCGACCGAGCTTAATTTAGAAGAACTTAAGCAATCACATGTATTTATGAATGACGAATCTAAAAAAAACTGATAGTCTACTCCTTTTTATGGGCTTATTTGTTTATTTCGCTGAAAATTAGAATATAATTGAGATCAATCTGCATTTAATCGGGCCAGTTCTTTAGCAATTATGTCGGAGCCGATATGGTAGCTTCTCTCGATTAATTTCAGAATTTGGACGATCTGATCAGCATTAAATAAACTGTTTTTTCCTTTGATTCGTTCATCTACAATTCCCTGTGATTTTATAGGTGGAATCTTACCATATAAAAAAGCAATTTAAAAAATCAATATTTTTTACCTGAACGGGCCGATTTAAAAGCTCATAGTAAGTTAAACTTTGAGTTAATTCGGTGCCGTTAATGCCAAGATTGATCAGATTTTGTTTCAGAGCGTAAATATTGCGGCACATCAGCACCACGCCGCGGGGATTTATAGAAGAAATTAGATTTACTTTGTGGATCAGAAGATCGTTGGTGAGCAACTCCAACTCCGTAAATAAAAATCTAACAAATTAGTAAACAATATTATTTTATAAAATATATAAATAAATAAGTATTATAAAATTAAAAAAAGTATTTAAATAAAGTGAGTGAAAAAAAATATTTTATATAATTAATAAATAAATTAGTTGAATAAATTAAAAACAAAAAAGTATTCAATTATAATGATAAAAGAAAATATTTTTATGAATTTATAGAGTAATTTTAGTAAATGTAAGATTAGAATAGTACCTAAATAAATTTAGTGAAAAAATATTAAATCTATAAATAACGAAATTAAAACCTAATTAGTATTTACTTTTTTCGGTGTTTTATATACTTTATAATTAAATAATTTTATTAAAAAAATCAGAAAAGTATATTATAAATTATATCAATGAAATTATTTTATAGATTCTATAAATAATTTTAATATTAAAATCAGAAAGGTGATTAATTTTAATTTAGTTAACGAAGTTTTTATAATACAAATTATAATTAATTTTCTTAAATACCAACAAAAAATTTGTTTTTATATATGATAAAATTTATTAATTAACTACGATTCAAACTGCGTAGATAAAAAATAAATATTTTTTATTTCTAAAACAAAATTATTTTTATTAAAATTTATAAAAATTTAAATTAGATTTGAAATAAAAAAATTCTTATATATTATCTTTAATTTATTCAAATTATAAATTAATTTTTATACATAATTACAACTATATAAACTAATTGCAAATTCATAATCTTAAATAAAAATTATAAATAAATTTAATTAATTGCTTTAAGCTTAATAAAATTAAAACCAATTTTCATAGAATTTAATAATTATGAACATTAAAATAAAACAGGAAAATTAAAAATTTACTAAATTGTATTAAATAAAATTAAATCAATTATAAAACAAAAAAACTAAAAAATTTTAATATAAATTATACAAAGTTTTATACTAAATTAGCTTTAATTAGAAAAATTTTAATATAATTTTTTTAACAGAATTTATATAGGTAAAAATAAAATTAATTAAAAATTAATAATAATAAAAAAAAAGTAAACTCGAGTTATAGAAGAATAGTGTTTGTATTAATTTATAGTGTTTAAGTTGAATCAAATTTAATAATAAAAATTTAAGAGTTATGAATGCTTTGTTAAGCTCGGGGTTGCATTTTCGAAAAAAAATAATTATTTTTTATTAGATGAAGGAATTTATTCTCATTTTTATTTTTTTTAAAACTTGTTTTATTTTAATTTAAATGGCCCAAATATAATAAAATTATTTTTACGTAACTTTTTTTTACATTCCTTATAGAATATTTTTATTGGATAATTATTATAAATGACTTAAAAAATTTAATAATTATTTCCTGTATAAAACTAACAAAATCATATAAAATAATAATTAATTTTTTAATGAAAAAATAAATTCAAACTACAATATAATTATATTGCTTTATAAACTTTTTATAAGTTGGGGGTGTTAAAAACTGTTCACTTATAGGCTTCAAATATTAATTTTTGTTTTTTTTAAAATCATTGTACATAAGAAATTTACAATAAAATTATTGTATTGTATTTTTAATTTTCAAATAGGAGGTTATAAGTTAAAAAAAAAACATTATTTCTAATAGTAAATAATTGAAAAAAAATCAATCTTTATATAAATTTCATTTTTTAAATAAACTTGAACAAATAAATCTTGTTTACTAATTAGCTAAAATTAACGATTAAAATTTTTAATGTTATTCTAAAAACAATTCAATTAAAAAAATAACATTATTATTTTTTAATTTTATTTCTACTAACTTTTATGTAGAAAATATCTAATTTTACTAATCTATTAATTTTAATTTATAAATTTGTTATTTTTACACTTAATTTTTATAAATAGTTTTTCTAAATTTTTTTAGGTATAATAAGTTTTACTAATTAATATTGTTAGATAAATAATACTAATATTAGAGTCTTCATATTAAATTTTAAAGTTTCTTTTACCAATGTTTAAGTATAAATTAGTTTAACTACTAATAAAGCTGAAAAGACCAATTTTAATAACTATTCTTACATTATTTTATTTCTACTATAAAATAAATTATATAAAGGAAATTTACCAAAAAATTTCTATAATTTATATTTTTTATTACTTTTGGGTTATGTACACACGAAGGCTAAGTGTTATAAGGAATAACGCGGGCCTGGTGTTCTTTTTTATTTTATTATTGTTGGATGTGACGCTTTCCAGGAATCTTTAATATTATCAAATATTTCATTACTGTGTTTTCCAGTCTTTAATAATAGTATATTAGGTATTATCTCTATGTCTATAATAAACTTTAAACTATAGTACATAACTTATAGTTTACCCTATATATTCGTTCGCGAGCTTGAGACAAAAAACAAACTTTACTGATTGTATTAGTATATTTCTTAAGTAAATTTTTTTTTAATAATTTTAATAAATAAAAATTATGAGATTTTGTAAATAAAGGTATATAAAATAAATATTCTTAATAATAATACTAAATAAGTTATAGTAATTTATAAATAAAGAAAAAGGAAATAAGATAGTAATATATTTAATAATAACAAATAAAAATATAATATTTTATAAATCTATAAATAGCCGATATGAATAAATTTTTATATCTTAATTAGGATTATTTAATTTTTCTTAGTGCAGTTATTAAGTAAACTTGATATTTTTAATTAGCAATTATTCTAGAATTAAATTCTATAGTTCCTTAAAATATAAGTGCCATTAATCAAGTCTAATATTATAAAACTTTGAATTTGTCTACATAAATTTTAATAAACTTAGTTTTTGTAAAAAAATAGCAAAAATAATTTTTAATCATATATTTCAGTAATGTTTCAGCTGACTTTTCAAAACGTTTCTAAATTTATAAAATAAAAAGCCACAAAACTAATTCCTAGTAGAAAAGTTATAAATAATAATGACCATTAAAAATTATCGGTTCCAAAATAAACACATTTTTTAATTTTAGTACTTCAAGTTGTTTTTTTTATTTGCCAACCTTTTGTAAACAGCTGTTAAACGACTGCTGCACATTTCCTCAGTTGAGCACAGCACTTCGTTCCACTAATTAAAAGAAAATTATAAAAAATTGTAATTAACTAAATAAATAATCTTTTTTCTTTTTAGTAGTTTTGTTATACTTTTGAAATATTTGCTTCGGGTTGGATCGGATCTTCTTCGAGATTATAATTTCCCTTTTAATGTTTTTAAAATGATTAAAAAAAATTTTTCAAAAATAAAATAACCTTTTTTAAAGCTGTTAAAAGGTAAAAGTAACATTGACTTCTTATTTCTAACTTCAATAAAAGTAAACAATTCCTTGAAAGATCTTTAAGTTGCGAAAGTAAATCAAAAATCTTCCTAAAATTATTATATTGAAATTAATTTCATTTAAGTTTATTTTATTAATAATAAGATACTTTGTATATTTTTGGGTAAGCAAAGCAGTAGAGGGAAGAAATCGCTCGAGATGATCTTTGTGGTTTTTGTTAAAAAACCACTCCTAGCGTAAATTATTTCTTTCTAAATCAAATTTTCCGAGAAAAATCTAAAAAGTACAAGACTATAAGCCAAACAAGCGAGCGTTCCCAGATTTTTAAGGCTTGGAATGATCCTAACGTTACTTAATTCGTGATCTACTGGAAAAATCCTCTCCTCGATGGCTCTTTGCTGGCGTTCGAGTTTCTTATAGTAATTTATATTATATATCTACACGTAATAGTAAAACTTTTTGATGCAGCTGTTTTGTTTCCTTGTCGATCTCCTAAATAAAAAAAATGGAATCGGCCCAAATTATATTAATTCGGCAGACATACGAAAAACCTGTTTCTGCTCAGAATTTACAGAAGTCTGAAGTTTTTTACCAAGCGGATTTTGCTGCAGGGCTTTGTAAGACGGATATTGCTGTAAAAGCTGCACAAGTTCAGAGTCACTAAGCCACACAAAAGATGTGAAGTGCCTCCCTGCGGTTTTTCCTGCGCTGATTGCTTGTAATAAAGAATTATGAATTAAATTTCTTTTCCGGATGAGCTTTTTACATTCAAAGCGCTCGTTGCATAGCATAAGAAACTGGGATAGCAAGTTTACGATAATCAAGCAAAGCGCATCCGTGTGGCCCGGGAGGGAGAGGCACAGGCCGAGCAATCGTTGTAGCAGGCTCTCTGCTCCCAGAACATTCTGAAGAATTGCCTGTGATGTTTTTTTTTAAAAACACAAAAGTCGCCAACTTTAGCAAGAGCCGGCTCGTCGGGCTTACTCCCTTCTTCGGCGGGTTTAAATGCTTCGTAATCTTTATATTAAATTAAATAATGACTTTTTAAAACCTAAAATTTTAAATTTAAAAAATATATTTTGCTATTTTTCTTTAAAATTAATTAAAATAATTAAATTGTTTACTGCACCGTCGCGGATACGCTCCAGCGCTCTAATTGCATCTTCTTTGACAAGAGTAAAGAACGTGTTAGTGCCGTAGTCGTTTAGGAAGGCGCCGAGCAATGTGTTAAGTAGAACGTCCGTGCTTGAGGCCCGAAAGAATTGGCTCTCTATCTGCACGAGAAAGGCGTGGACGGAGCGGTAGCAAAGCGGGAAGTTGCCGGGATGCACAGCACATATAAGTTGTTTCTCTACAGGAGCAGCAGCCTGATTTAGTTTTATTTTAAGTAGATCAAAAGTTGGAGGGGGTAGTCCAAGGAGACCTCCGCACTCGACCAATCTCCGTGGGAAAATGAGGAGTATGCAAATCGAAACAGAGGAGCCTTTAAGAAATGCGCGATGAATTTAATTTATTTAAAAATTATTTGTGTTATTGAGATAGAATATACACACTTGAGTCAAAAAGAACTAATAAAAAATTTTCTTATTGAAAGTATTATGATAAAAAGATACTTTAAAAATTTTTTCATGGTTGTTAAATAATTCTACGGGATCAACAATCGCACTGCTGTTTTTTACAGGACCCGAGCAAGAATCGTCAGCACCAAAGTAAATGCTCAGCACTCTCATGAGCTAAAGATACTCTTCTTTATTTTAAATTTTAATAAACTCTAATCTCCAGCACCTCTTTTTGGATGGACATCCAAACATTCTTAATTGAGAAAATTTCAGTTCCCTTTTTATTATTTAAATTTATTTTAGTTATAATTTCTGTGTTTTTTTTTTACTTTTACGTCGGCTTGGAACTGTACGGATTTTATAAATTTCTTTATAAGCACGTGTCTTTGTAATATTTTGGTGTGGAGAGAAAATAAGTAATGGAGAAAAGTAAGAAAAGGAAGATCGTTATTGAACGAATCCTTTTCCCTCTTATTTAAAATATGCGGGGAAATGGAAGTCCGCGGAAGATCATTCTGACTATAAAATTTAATATTTGTATTAGTTATTAAAAAAAATACGCAATAATAATAATTTTTTACTAAAATATTTTTGTTACTAATACATTACTAAATAAATATAATTATTGTTTTTAAGATATATACTTATAATATGATGATTTATTAACTATATATGAGTAAATATTGTAAATTAATAAATTTAAAAAGTAAAGGTTAGAAATTTGGTTAACAACAATCAATAAATACTAATTATTTTAAGTATTAATCAGTTATTAGTTACAATAAAAGCGAGAATTTTTTTGTAATCGTAAGATTTTGAAGTAGTTAAATTTACTTAATTTAGATTTAAATAGTTTACTTTTTATTAATAAGATAACGTATTATTATATTTGGTAGATATATTTTTATAATAAAAAGTTTTCTTTAGATATATATAGATAATAAAATTTAAAAATTAATTAAATAACTTACTACTTTTTAGAATAAAATATAAGAAATAATCAATTAATAAAAGAATAATTATAAAGTTATTATATAAAAAGGGTATTTTTTAATTACTGATAATACTAATTTTACTAGATTCAAGTATTATATTGTAAACTAAAAACAAAATTTATAAATATTTTTAACTAGGAGAATTTTTTTATAACTACCAATTAAAATAAATTTTAAATGCGATTGAATAAATATAAAAATAAATTTATAAGTCTCATCAAATATTTCTAACCTGCAAATATTATTTATTTTCTAAATAAAAAAGCTCAAAAATGGAAGCAGTACTAAGTAAATATATTCTTATTAATCTACTTTTTAATAAAAAACTATTACTTATATAAGAACATAAATAGTAAACATGTGAATTTAAATTAAAAAAATAACAACTGAGTTGTAATTAAAAAATATTATTTTAATAGCCAAAAAGAAATTTAAAATTTATATATAAGGCTTTAAGTAATTTTATAGTTAATTAATAGTCCCACAACAACCAAATTCTACAAAATAAATTATTTATTTTATTAATATTAAAAAGTAAATTAATTTCGGACGCCCACTATTAAGTTATCAGTTATTAGTTTTATTAAAATAATAGTTAAATTTACCTTAGATCCAAAAAAGATTAACTTTAAATAAATTACTAATAATTTACTAATAAAAAAAAATTAAGTTAACTATAACTCTAATTTTTTTTCTCTAATTATAATTTCTGCGTTGGAAGTGATGCGGGAAAGTTCCATTGGCCGCTGCTGCTCGAGCCGCAGAATAGATTCTTTTAGATAACCAACTAAGTTGAGACTTTCCAGTAAAATCTGAAATAATTGTTCCTCTTTCATGCGCTTTGGTGTGATTTTTATTAGCTATTGAAAAAAATCCTTAAAATGAGAATTACTGTAACTTATAATTAAATATGAAAAATCATAAAACCATTTTTTCTATTTGAGACGTTCGCACTTGTGCCTTAGATAAATGCTCTAACACTATAAAATAATCACCATAATATTTAAGTATAAATTTTAAAATAATTAAAACAATGCTGAGAGATTATAGAAACTTCTTCATCTTCATCTTTTTCCTCTCCTAACTTTAAACCTGGATTTTCCAAAAGGATTTCAAAATTATGAATCGATAAAAACAAGTTATAATAGAGAAACTATCGCTTTTAAGATTATCAGCAGGAGAATCCTCTTTTTCCAAGTATAAAAGTTCTGATAATTTTTCATATATTTTTTCGTAAAAACTCTGAATAATTTAAATTCATTAAAATAATTTGCAAAGATGATTTGATAATTTGTTAAACAAACGATAGCTATATTCTCCATCTTTAACTTAAAACTTTTTAAAGCGTATAAGCCCAATAAATCAGTTTCCAGTATTTTTTTTACCTTTAAAATTTGATGTCAAAAAAAATAAATTAATAAAAAGCTATGATACTTCAAACATTAGTTGAGCCGCTAGTAAATACTGATCTTCTTCGAGGAAAATTTTAATTTGATCGGGAACTTTCGTGGTATTTTCCCTTTGATTATTTATTAGTACTATAACTTATACTTTATGTTTTTTGTAAAAAAATACTATAACAGCGAAATACACACTTTTTTAAATGAAGAAAATAATTATATACACTAATTCTATAAGCCTAAGTAACTCCGTGTACTCTTTTTGAGCCTTCCAAAGTTCTATAATACTTTCCCTTGGAACCGAAAACTGCTGCTTACAGCGAAGTATGGAAGTTCTAATTTTATCAAGAGTTTCTTGGCAGGCTAAAATAAATAAACTTTTACATAATAAAAATTTAGATTTAAAATGCTAAAAAACCGGAGAAGTTCGAATCAATATCAATAAAAGCTTTAACAGAACTCGTAAACTTCTCTTGATTAACTATAAAAGAAATTAAAAATAAAATTTATAGTACGGTTTTTAGCGAAACCTTTTAAAATAGAATTAAGTCGCTTATCTATTTCAGCATAACTGGAGGAAAAAGATTGGTTTAAAGAACTTAACGTTATTTCATTTTGAGTGACTGAACCAAGAAATGTTCTGTTATTAAATATAAATAATAATAATAAATTAAAAGGGGAGCTAAAAAACCCTTCTTTTTTCAAAGCCTCGATAATTTGAGTCAGAGGGACAGGCTATTGTTAAATTATTATTAAATTTTCTTACACACCACAAGGTACAGATGAATAAAAAGTTTTATCAGAGACGTACATCAACGGGAATGTTCAAATTCATTTTGTGTAGATCATCCATAAGGCTTTAAAGAGCTAAGAAAACTTACCATAAGCGTTGAGGAAGGTTTTAAAAAAATTTTCGCTTGTTAGTAGCAAGCAGAAAAGCTTACTTATTTTCTTAATGTGGTAAGTGATAGTCCGCGTCAGTGCAACGAAAAAACCTCGTCTATGTATTGTTACTTACTGGCTCTAAATTTTAAAAAACATTTTTAGAATTTCAGCTGCAGATCCAAACGTAATAGTACAAATATATTATTAGTATTCTCATTGCCTGCAAGTGTGGAAGCTATTTTAATTATTTTTGTACTTATCTTAATTTATTTAACTATAATTTACTTTTTTAGTGGAAGAAGGGGAACTACAACTTTTTGTTATGTTAGCAAAAAGTAAATATTTTTTTATGTATGATCAATAAAAAATATATATATAAAAGTTTACATACTTTTTCTACACCAAAATTAAAAAATTTTTTAATTAACTTTCTATTTTCTCACCATTGTGTGTAGCTCTTTCTAAGTAATTGAAACACGTAATACCCGGCAACAGTCCGCACCTTAATATTTGCGTACTCCACAGCAGCCCTAAAAGGGTGGCACTTTCTTACCAGCTAAACTAGCCTAAATACAAAAAGAGCAACCATCATATTAACTTCCGGAATCTTTCGTTACTTACTATGGCCGTTAATACAGCTCTTCAGCAGTTTAATATGGCTTCTAGTTCTGAGAAGCTAATACTACTTCAAGCTTGCTCTGACGGTACTTCTACTGTCACCACTATTAATAAAATTTAAATTAAGCTTCTTTTTAATATCTTTTTTATATTTAAGAATTAGTCGCGAGAACCACCGATCTCCACGATTTTATATTGGCTCTAGGGCCCCTTTTAACAAGCGAACTCTCTGAAAAAAGATTTCAAGGTTTTATTCCTATCGTTATTTTTCTACTGTACTGTTTAACTTGAAAACTATAAATCTATTATTAATTGAGAGTTTGTAATATAGGTTTAGAGCTAATAACTGCTGTTATTAAGAATGTAACCCCTGGCCACTTCTCTTTGCAAGAGGGTCTTTAATTCGTTGTTCATGGATTATTTTTAATAAACTTAAGATTAATTAATGACACTTAATAGTTTCCTATCTTTATCAATTTTATTATGATCGTCTTTTGGATGAGTTAAGCTTTAAGCCTTGCTTGGATGGCTTATATCATCTACTTATTACTTATAATTTGCCATCCTCTCAGATAATTCTCCTTATTAAAAGGTTTTATACATATTTGGCATAAGTAATATATATAATAGTTCACTAGATTGTTCAATAATTTGGATATCCGCAATTTAAAACAACCTCAAAGAATTTTAATTTATCAAATTTTAGAAATTTCTTTCAAAAACTATGTTACTGGTATGAATCTTATATGTGATTTCGGGTGTTATAGTGTTTACGTTATTGGAAGATTTTTTTTATTAATAAAAATTAAAAAATGAAAGAGTATATAATAAGAATACGATGGGACAAATATATACGTTTTATATATAATAACATTTGTACGCAGCAGTGTACACAGTAATTTATTCTTATATAAACGAGCAAAATTAATTTTCTTCCTTTAAAACTTTAATAAAGAAATAGTATGATTAGTAAAAGCTATAAAGTACTACTAATAATATTCATAAGTGAAAATCTTAATTAGTGCTGAACATAATATGTTTATTTATATCCTGATTACTATTTTTCATGGTTACTAGTTGTTTACTTAACTTTGTCAGATTTGAGTTCTATCCAAAAAGAGCTCATTTCTGGATTCACGCGGTCTGCGGAAGGTGAGAAAGATCCCAGAAATCTTGCAGTTTTATTTCAAGTGGCCACATTTATTGCTCAGAACTTTGATATTTCTGGCACTGAAGAGGTTTATTTGTACTCTGCTTTATTAAATAGTTATTTATTTAATTTACTAACGAACGCATTATTGCTGTAATAAACAAATAATTAAGATAACTATCTCTTTTCTTGGTAACCTAAATGTTTTTTTATATTTTACTATCATTTATTCGGATTAAATATTAAGAAAAGCTATCTTAATAAGGGTATTGTTTAAAGTTCGTTAAACAATTTTTACTAAATATTTGCACCAGAAGTAAAAAGTTGTATGTTGGGTTATATTATTAGTTTTAATAAATTTTTATATTTCACACATAATCTAAATATAATTATTCTGTTAAAAATCTAGAACTCTTATCTATTTTCATAAAAACTCCCAAGTGGAGTGAAAAAAACCTTTTTATCAATAAAAGTATAGTATAGTATGGCGGGTCATTTACTCGTAGCCAATAATCAACTACCTTGCTTAAAATGTAATGAAAATTTTTTTTTCATCAAAAATATAGCATAATATGTTACTCTTAGCTAATAAAATAACATCTTTTCAATGGAGAGGCTTATCTATTACCTCATTTACGAAAGTGTTAACTGTGTTAATAACTTTCTTTAATACTATTTTAAGGACCTTTTCGATTTATTCTGGTGCTATTTTCCCATAACTTATGAAACTTCCGATAAAGAATCTTCAGAAATTAACCGAAAAACTTTAAGAGATGGGCTAAAGTAAATTTTAACATTTTTAATTTTTTTTATAATTAACTACACTACAACTCTTTTGCAGCAATTTTTTGAAATCAAATTCACTTTTTGCAGATCAGTGCCTTTTTTACTTATTGGAGAGTTTTGGTTCTGGAGATTATAACGATAAAGTTTTGCTATCTTTTTTTTTAAATTTTGATTTATCAAAGATTATATATCACATTTATTATTGAAATATTTTGTTTATATAATCACCTACAAACCTATTTAATCCCTATCTTTTTTTTTTTCCTTTATTAATAAAACTTAAAACTAGAGTGAAATTTTTTTTTAAAACTTCAAAAAAAAAATTAGTTTACTTTTCTATATATTTTCTAAGCTTGAAGGCTACTTCTGTCTAGCTGCCTGTGCATCGGCTTATTGCAAAGTGCTTCCTGTCTATATCGAAGGGCTATGGGCTCAAATGAAGCTTGACTTGTTTAGCAGTACTCACCCCGTTGAACTGTTGCAAGCCGCTTTGGAAGCTTTGAAGTCCTGTTTGCTAGCTTTAGAGGGTTAAAAGCATTATTTTGTTATCGACCGTTTAATATAAGTGAATAAAAATATATTTAATATAAATAGTGAAGAGCATCTAATAAATAATTTCAATAATTTAGGTTTATTTTTATTAACTGATGATCATAAATTTACTTATTAATTAAAAAGCACTATAGAATAAATATTTTTTATAATTGAAATTATATATATATAAACTATAAAAACATTAGGAAGATAATAAACGCTTTATTAGAATTTTTAATTTAACATACTTTTGTATATTTTAATAGATGACTTGAAATTTTTTAATACCATTTTGGACGAGTGTCGGCAGAGAATAGAGCAATTCACTAAGAAAAGTATTGGGCGTTTACTGTGTGAACTTTGTCAAGTGAATGGCGAGTGTTTTATATTATTTTTTTTTAAACTTGAAATTTGCCGGTCGTTAATTTTATCATTTTTAAATAAAAATTGTGATGACGTCAAGGATACAATAAATTTTATAGTAATAATAATACATAATAACTATATATAAATTCTTAGCTTCGATAGTGGACATGTATTTCTTTAGTCCTCTTTTCGATTTTTTTTTGTCACTCCTTATATTAATTTTTAATATTTAGAAATCTACACTGAGAATATTATAAAGACTTTTCTTCCTCTTTATCTTAGCAAGTTAAAAGCAGTGAATAGTGATGTATTTCTAATGTTAAAAATGTTAAAAGTTTTATAAATTTTTTTAAAAAAAAGGAGGAAAGAAGTTTTCTATTGCTGGATGTTGTCAGTTTGCTCAAAGTTGACGGCTCTTCGCTTAAAACTGGTACATTATTAGAGTTACCTGATAATATTTTCTTTGGCGCAACGTTTAACTTTTACTAGAAACAATTCAGCTGGGTATTTTATATGAACTTTCTGATACTGTTTGCGGGTTTGTTGCGAATAAGCACATTCCTGAGCTGCGCCGCGTGGCTGTTTCGGGCCTTTTTTTGCTAAATTCACTCACTTTATCAAGAAAAGAAAAGGTCACATGCTTAGCTGTACGCTTCCCTGTCTTTGTTTATAATTTTACATCTTTAGGCTGCAGAGGTTTTACGCTTTAAACTTTTCAATGTAATTCTGGAGGCTGATGAATTTATAAAGTTTATTAATTATTTCATTCTTTGTTAAATATAATTTTGCATACTATACAAAAGCTGTGCTTCCTGACTAAAAAATTAGCCTTTAAGCTTTTTTCTTTTCTTATCTTGAATTTTTTTTTTACCTCTTTTACTAGAGAAGTTACTCAACAAGAACTCAAACTGAATGTTTATAAACTTGAACCCCTTTTTTATGAACTAGCATCACATCTCTTATCTCTTCTTGAGAGTGGTTCCTTTGGTTTCATATATTAAAAAAAACATATATATACTTATAAGTTTATACTATTTAATACTTTTTATATATGTTAAGTCTTTAACTATTTATAAAATTTTTCAGAAAACATTGTTCTTTGGTATTTTCGAGTCATTGAAACTATTTCCGCTTCTCCAGTCATTTTTAATACTGTATTTTCTCAGCTATTAACTCTTTTCGTAAAGTGTCGTGGTGGTGCGTGTTAATTTTTAAATTATCATCACCATTATCATTATTTCTATCTTCCAGACTTTGCGTTGAACCTTTGTCTATGCTTAAACCAATGTTTATGGAATCTTTTGCGTTTTCCTCGATACTTCATTAGTTTTAGCCAGGGTAGCTCTGAGGAAAATTCTAGCCTTTTTAAAGAACCAGAAACTTTAGAGCAGTTTGATGAGGTTTTGAAAAAAACAGCTTTATGTGTTGCTCAAAAGTTTACGGAATTTTTATACCTTCAAAAACTCTGCGGTTCACGCGGTTTCAGGCCTTTTTCTGATATTGTAATGACATTATTATACTAGCGTCGCTTTAATAGATTTGCTTACGGCTATGGCGCATGTACTCGTTAATCTGACGCGGACTCTAGTCACATGGTTTCTTTTTTCCTTTTTTACTTTTTTTTCTTTACCTCTTAACGGGTATTTATTAGTAACATCATTAGCGAGCAGGAGCGTCTTATAGCTTATTACCTTCAGTTTATAAAAGATTTTAACTCGCGCGTAAGCTAAAACTTTTTTTTCATCACATTGGATATTTTAGTATTATATAATTACTAAGGATGAACAGCGTTACTTATTGGTTCTTTTCAGCGCTGTTTTTTGCAATTGTAAAGAGGTGCTTAAAAAAATATGTTGTTATATTACAAATCTTATAAAGAACTTTGAACACGCAGTTCAGTTTAAGCCACTTTGAGTTTCTTTATACTACTTTTGAAGTTGCCTTATCTGATCCACTCGGCCGTCCTCCTATAGAAGAATTACAATTTCTTTCGGCTAATAAACTTTTGGCTTGCTCTGTGTGTGTGCTGCTGGCTGGTCTTGAACATTTGTAATTATCTATTTCTATTGTTTATTTTTATAAGCTAGATTATTCGCCTCTTCGCAAATTTGTTGCCGAAGCGCTGAGTTCTATCAAGCAAGTTTTGTTTTCCAATGAGGAGATGCCATCACAGAAAGAAGCAGCTCTTCGAACTTTATCTTATGTATGGTTAACGTAAACTTGTATGTGGTGCGAATAGAGTGCGAGTGATGATAAGAGTTTAAGAACATACAGCTCGGAAGACTATAATAGTTTAAACCCCTTAAGCAAAGAAGTTGGTAATCACTCTCCACTTTACTTACGAAGATAGCCAAGGGACTGGTCATGAGCGGCGACACTGCACAATCTTCGGCCTGCGACCTTCTTATTAGCCAACTAAGCACACCGAAGCTTGGTAAGGGTATCTATTTTGTCAACAGGTTATATGTAAAGTTTTTTAATAATAGCAAAAGCGTCCAGTGAAGGAGTTGCTATCGTGTTAGACGACTTAGACGACGTGATGGGTATGCAACTTGGGGATGCTCGTAAGCAAAACTTTTATTACAATTATATCGGATCTATTAAGAAAATATACTCGGAAGCTCTTCTTATAGGTGCCGTGTTAATTGACTATAAAAGTTTTCGAATGCTTATACTACTAATAGAGGAAAAGCAGCATCCTCTTTCTGTCGCCTTATCGCTGTTGACATCTCTGCCTAAACCTGCACTAGCTAAAGAATTTCTTTCGGTAAACATCCGTCCTTTAGAGAAAGACACTGCGCTTTTCTAACGAGCTCTTTGCTCAGCAAATCTTGATAGTTACCGCCTCGCTTCAAATGGCAGATTATTCTATCCAGCTCTCCGCCTTGCGGCTTCTGAACCTTGTGATTGACTGCGCTCCTGATTGCTTTGCAAAGGCTCTTGACGAACTTGTTACTGCTACGACGGTGCTGTTGTCTTCACCTTCCATGGTGAGTTAGTTGCTACCGGATATTTATTTGTCTATATCTCACGTGTTGATACGAAAGGAAATCAAGCGGCGGGTGCTTGTTGTGCTCTATAAGATGGCCGGACTTCCCTACCACGAGCTGCACCGCTTTAAACAAGGCATCATAAACGTCTTAGAGGCTCTGCTGGATGATACCAAACGCTTAGTGCGAAGAGAAGCTGCGATGTGTCGCTCCCTCTGGCTTATGCTATAACTGGTTTATTTCTTTATTAGATTTTGCTTGTGTGATATTTATTATGATAAGCACATGTTTTAGGTAAAGACTAGACATTTATTTTACTTTTTAAGATCAACTAATAAATTACTTCCGCATTGTTGAACGTTGTCATTTTCCTATACAAAACCCGGAGAAGATGCGGTCAAGGACATCTTCCAGTGAGATTCTCCCTGTAGTAGTCGTATACAAACATTCACATTGCAAGCGAAGTGTTGTTAAGGCACCTGTTATGTACTCAAGTTGTTGACGGGCGCAATTGAGCTCTTCAGAAAATAGCACGAGATCCTTTTCCTCTAAGTTTGTCTCTCTCTAAGAATTCAAAAAGTTTGCACAAATGTAAAAGACCGAGCGCCTTTTGAAGAAAAAATTCGCACTTTTCCAAGTGTAATCGGTGTCTTGTCTGCGTTGGGACTAGCGAAGAAGATTCGCATCTGCAATAAATAATTTAAACTATTAAGTATTAATTACAAATTCTTCAGCTACTTTGTTTTAATTTCGTCTATTAACTGATTCAAAAATTGCTGTAAATTAGTTTTGTCTTTGCACGAGATTTTAAGTACTTTTTGGTGGGGATAGGCTTTGCTAATACCACTGTTAAAAAAAAATTCAATATAGTATATTCTTTGTAAACCATAACAAGCTGATTTTACGTGAAGGTCTTCTCAAGTGACGAGGTTTCTTTAGGAATTAAGTCAGTTTTGTTTAGTAAAATGAAATCAGTATTCTTCAATGGTAAAGCTTCCCTTTGAAATAACTCTTTGAATTTACTAACATTATTTAGCGAAATTAGATTGTTTGCGTCTAGAACGATTATTCTCAAGTCGCTAAGTCGAGCTCTGAATAGATTATTATAGAAAACTAAGTCAAATATAACTTTAAGCTTTAATAAAAATATTAAGAACTGCTCTAGTGCTCTTCGAATTCCTTCCTGTTCTATGAGGTCTACAGTCGACCTAAGGCCAGCAGTATCCGTAAATACTACAGGGTAACCGCCAATATCCTAAAAAAAATTTTAAAAAGTAAAATAAATAAAATATTTAGATTCTACCACAAAAGATTCAATTACGTCCCGAGTCGTTCCGGGTATATTTGATACAATAGAAGTACTTCTCTGCGCTAACAAAAGAAAACTTTATAAAAACTTTAAACAAATATAACTATAAATTCACTTAGCCAGTTCATTAAAGAACTTTTTCCCGAGTTAGGCGGACCCATAATAGTTATGTGCACACCTGTGCAAATGAAAGGCGGAACTTTAGAAGAAAAAAGAAAGTGGAAGTTATCTATATACTAACCTTCCCTTAGGCGCACACCCCGCTTGTCATCGTAAAGATGATTCTTTATATCGTTAAGCAAAGTTTGAGTGATTTTTTTTGCTTTATATAAGACCCTATAAGCCTTTCTTATAAGTATTTAGAGCTAGCGCTTACCCGGTAGAATGGTATCTGCTACGTCCATCTCCTCTTCGCCGAAGTCAATGACGGCATTCGTATATGCGAGAGCTTCAATAACTCTTTGTCGCCAGTTATCGTACAAATTTTTAAGATCTCCCTTTAATATATGTTTAAACAAAGGAAATAATTGTATTTTATATAAAATAACTGTCATCTGCCGAAATGCTTGTTTGCGCTGCGCCTCAGTTTCGGAATTGATGAGATCACTTAATCCTTCTAAAGAAGTTAAATCAAGTTTTCCGTTGTAAAAAGCTCTAATAAAATTAAAGAAACATATAGTTAAAAAGAGAATATTAGAACCAAACTTTTTGAAAGTTTAAAAACAGTTAAACCTTTTAGCAAATTCTCCGGGCTCTGCTTGCCTTATTCTTTCCACAGAGCAATTGTTTAGTGCCGTTAAAAGTCCATTAATAACTGCTTTCCCACCGTGTATGTGGTATTCCACGACATCATCCCCAGTAAAACTGTGTGGGCCTACAACCCAGTTCAACAATAAAGAAAAGGTTTTATGAGTGTTTTTAGTATACCGGGAAAGTAAACCACCATCCCTTTATCGATGGGATCCTTAGATTTTGGATGTAAAAATGTACACACAACTAATTTCCTTGGAACAATAGCAAATTTTTTACTTGCCAGTTCCTCAACAGTCTTTGTGTATGCAGTAAATATACAAAATCAACACTAAATTCAAGTAGTTACCCTATAGCTATGTGGCCCAGAAACCCTGATTACGGCAATACCTAACATAAGAATAAAAAATAGAACATATTTATACCTTATATATTAGTAAACCTGCTTTTCCCGGAGCTGTTGATAAAGAAAAAATTGTGTCTTTTTTAGAATTTGACGATAACCAACAAACCTTCAAGAATGGAAGTGATTTTTTTACCCTGCCATAAGTTCGTATACTTTTTATGATAGTTATTTCCCTATACATTTTTCAGTTTTATTATTTTGTATTTTAGGTTTTTTAAGTGCAAAATTTAAGGTCGCTCCAAGTTATAACATTCACCTGCAGAGATAACACCATATTAAGAAAAAACAATTAACTTTCAAAGGTAAAGGTAAAAGTAAAAACGAACTAAAGGTGTAAAATGCTTTAAAAACGCCACAATGTATAGTTAACTTGTAAAATTATAGTAATTACTTAAACTTCCAGTTTTATAATGTTGAAGTTAGAGCCAAGGTGTATATAAAATAGAGGCACAAGTTTTGAGGCAAGCACTTTCTCTAAACTACTCATAAGACTTACATCGTAAATAAGGTAAGTAAATAATATTCACAAGTAAACTAGTTTGCAGTGTCGAGCAAAACCTTGTATATTTTTAGTAACTTATGTAAACTTAGAACATGTTATTTAGATAGTAAAGAGACCCGTAATATGTTTGAAGCTCTGTAAAAACTCCGTTTTATTATATTAAAAAAAAAAAAGTTTATATCGCTCACAATAGTTGCCCAGACCCCAAAAATCTTCAGTTCATGGAACTTTGGGATGTTGCCAAACAATTTTAGATCCACTAATACATTCTTGAGTTTATTCTCAAGATAGTTTAAATATGAAGCCCGCCTTTATTTCGTAAGTCACCAAAGTTTGGTCAGGGGAAATGGTAAGGGATTAATGAAGGAATTTGTGTGCTAACACGAATATATATTGCTATATAAAGTAAGAAAAATATGAGGTATAGTTAGTTATACAATTATATTTATAACTTCTGCAGTTAACTTAAATCGCAAACTGCTTAGTCAGGGCATAGGGGCGCACTGTCCCTCTTCTAAAAAATTCACAGTGCTTCACTTAGAGTAACTTAAAAAAGTGACTTTCCCTGTGCTCAATGGAATTAACAAATTTCAAAGACTTTAAGCTCACCAATTTTTTTTATCATTCAGACCTCCAATCGGACTAGAGGGAACTGTGCACTCTCTTTTTTATGTACTGTATATACTGTACGGCTATTTTTTTTGATTAATGTTTTATCCTTTACGTATATTTCTTAGAAGAGAGAAAGAATATTATTTAATAGTTTGTCTTTCTGTTTTTAAGTATTTTAGAGATAAACTACATTGATTTCCATAATTTTTTCAAATGAATGGTATCGCAATAAGTACGTTCTAGATAGTAAGAGAGATGTAGAGGGACTAGGGTTAAAAAAAACATGGCCTGAAGATTTAGTCCAGTTTATAAGTGGAAGAACGGAGTACAAAGAATTATTTAAAAACCCGTTGAGTTAGAACAAGGAAATGTTTAAACTTGTAGTCGACATAAGAAGCGTACCTTGCAATAAAAATTCGAAAGTGAGGGCTTTGTAAACGAACTTGGTTGCTAAACAACAATGCAACGTGGACAGAATTAAAAAGAGCTAGCATCACTTAGTATAGTGACTTATAAGTATTGTATATATCGAGTGTTTACAAGAGAATTGTATATAAGAAATTAAAAAAGACAATTTTATGTTTTAACTAATCTTAAACGTAAATCGATAAAGCTTTTTGTTGCTTAATTTTGTAAAGTTTAGCTCTTTCTAAAAAACTTGCTTTCTTCGGAGCAACGAATGCTACTATACTTGAAAGTTTGGTTAATATAATAATTATAAAGAGCTTAAGGTTTTTATAGTAGATCAAAATAACTTTGGCACGTGCTAGTAGTTACAGGCAGAGAGGAGACAAATTACGTATTTTATTTTTGAAAAACTTGAATCTCGGATTAAAGCCAGCCAACACAAACAACTGTTTACAAAAGTTAAAAGGAGCATTTCATGAGTCGAGTTACTTTTTTATTTCTAAGGCCTACTCTCAACCATATATTTTTCTTTAAGATATACTTTCTAAAGAGCTGAAATTGTGTTAGTGTAATACATTTGAGTCGTGACATTAGTACAACCATCTGTTAGATGTGGCTTTTTAATGTTTAATCTAATAAGATGTTTTTCTTTATAAAACTAAGGGGAATAACCCATTCCAATGGACTTTACAAGTAATATTATACTATTATATATAGAGGTATATGCTACCTATGGCAGGTGTGGAGCGTTTTAGCCACGTGTGCCTGATGTGTCGGACTTTTTGTTAGAACAAATTTTGTGAATACATGTAGATACAAACATAATACTCTGCTTTTCTTGATTTTATTTCATTTCAGTAAACATGCCTACTTTAAACTAATTTTATTCGACTTAGAGTTCTGTTTTAGAATGGACACTGGAAAATATGTTTAAAAATATAAAAATATTTTTTGTAAAAAGTAACCTCACAAAAATACGTAACTCCACGCTCACACAAATACTTTATTTCTTGAATGTAGTGCGAAGCAATTTAAAAGGAGTTTGTTAAAAGGAGATAAAGTTAATTAGAAGGACTAAGAGAAGGGAGTACTCTTCTAGCGCTTATAATATTGGGGATAAAATACGTTAGCTACTCAGAATTACAGTTTATATAATGTTTCGATGTAACTTAAATTTACTACTCTCCTATAAGTTCAAACGTAAGTAACTACTTGTATTAATTTTGGCTGACACCAATAATAGGCAAGTAAAATTTAATGAAAACACATTTTTAGCTTTTGTATGTTTGTTAATTGTAAAGCCCTTTTCCTGCCTTATAGCTTCTTTAAAGTATTTAAATTATTTCAACCCTAAGCGTTTTAAAATAATTATCTTTGTTAACATTCTAAAAATTTTCCAGTGTATTAAAAATCTTAAAAACAAATAATATATGTATAAAAAAGTAGATTTCTTTTATAGTTATACTGCTGTTAGCTTTAAAAATATAGTTATTTATTTTTTAAGGTGTAATTTTTTTTTTACTAGCGCTCCTATAAACAAGACAAGGCAACCAGCAGACAATTTTCAAAATAAATTCTTAAAGACCAGTGCACCGCAATTTTTGTCCTACACGAATTGCAAACTAATAAACTTTATATTTCAGGGATAAGAATAAGAAAATTTATTCTTTTAAGTATAAAAAATTTTAAAACAGTAACAGAATTCGGTTTTCCCCGTCAAGCAGGCTTTTCAATTTTGCTGCATACAACAATACTTTGAGGAGAACGACCAAGTTCTTTAAAAAGTTATGAAAATATTAAAATCGGATGAAAAATAGAGGACATATAATGAACTATACAGTACCTAAAAGTTCAACTACGATGTATCGAAAATCAAAGTTAGTACCATTTTGCTTGATTTCTAGATGTACAGTGCCTGTTCCACGTGATCCTAAAACAAATATAAATATGAAGTAAATAAGTTTGTGCTATGTGAAATACCTTTTATATAGTACTTCATGCGTTTGTATATTTCTCCGTTAACTTCGTACTCGGCGAATCTAGAAAGTTTATACTAGTGAAAAAAAACAAAACTATTTTCATTCTTAGTCAAAATTAACCCTGGAGCCCTCTCCCGATTTTCAAGCGGATTTGCTGAAGCTTTAATGCTTTCTCCGAGCGAACTTCTAATTTTTTCATTCTATCTTTCCATAAAATATTATATTTTAACTAAATTATTAAATTAAATACCTCTAAAACCAACTGAAAGGATTTTTTGTACACCGTAGAGGAACTAACGCTGCCAAAGATTTCTGTTAAGGTGCTGTAACCAAAGACACCGCACAAGCCGATGCCAGCAAGTATAACAATAAGGTATGTAAAATCCTTTCCAGCTTCAACCACTAAGTAAAAAAAATATATATAAATTAATATAAAAAGTAAGTAAAAAAAAAAAGTTAGGTTAACCCTTTTGAGTAGGAGTTAATAAACCAGCTTTTCTCCTTTCCTCGTAACTTAACAAATGAGCAGTTTTTCCATCAAATGAACCAAGGCGAATTCCTTAACGTTATACATTTATATATATATATATATGAAAATCGAGATAGGTAGTATTTTGAAACCTTTTTGAGAATTAGGCTTTTCAAATTTCAAGTCATCCTTTCTTACTTTGTCCTCAAAATGGTCTAATAAACTCGGAGTGAGGTGCATAAACCTAAAAGTAAAAAGTTACAATGTAAAAATTTAACGAAACTACGAAATATCATTTCAAGCGAAATTACTGAAATATAGCAAATAGTAATTTTATAAGTAAACCGTGCTCCTTTTAGAGAGCTGGCCTTAACTACTATAGATTTAAGTCGAACGAATGTAAAAATATTCTTTGGATGCACGGATTTTTGGATAATAACACAGATATTCATAAGGTTTGATAAATTAATAAGATTTCATAAAACTTAAAAAAAAAACTGTTTTTTTTATAAAGACGAAAGCGAGAATTTACTAAACCGATACCACTTGCACCTCAAAAATCCTAAAGTTTAAGCACGGGCCAATTAAAAGTTAAATTAAGGGCTCGCTGCAAAGAAATTTTAAAAATTCTTCCACGGCCATGCAACTGACGTTTACTATTTAACAAAGTACTGCGAATAAGTATAAAAATAGGTTTTTAGTTTGTAGTCTTTAATAAATGGGCTAAAAGTTATAATTGGAGATGCAGAGAAAGGGAACGGATGCACATTTACTTAAATAATTAAACAGGGAGTAAAAATAGTCATTAACTATTTTATAAGAGGCAGATCAGCCCGATAAAATTAGTAATAAAAGCTTTAGAAGGAAGAATAAATATTTTATTATATGTTAAGGAGCTGAATGTACGTCTTTTGAAGCTATAAAAGTGAGGCCTTAGTTATATTGTTTAATAAGTTAGTACTTCGCTACAAGATTCTCTATTAAATCAGTATCCTAGTACTAAAATTCAGAAATTTATTTTCTTATGGCGAATCCAAATTTTATTTTACATACATTACTAAAAGTGAGCCTTCTAATTTAAAAAAGTTTAATTTTATACTCTTCTAATTAACGAGGAGCTTAAATTTAAGAGGTACCCTTAAGTGACGTAAAACCCTCTACAGTGTTTTTTCGTCGCTGGGTATAAGCTTTAAAAATTGTTTTTATGACTTCCAAGTCTAAGGTTTTCACTATAATATACTATATTATATCATCTTAAGTTTTTTTTTAATAATCTAAAAAAGTTTTTTTAACTTGAAGTGTAAATGTATTTTATAACACTGTATATTTTTTAAATTATTAGCTGTAAATATTACAAATTTAAGTTTTTTTTGTTAAAAAGCGTCATCGTTGGGAGCAAGATAATATTATCGCTAAGCACAGAGGAGAGATTTTTAAAGAGTTAATAAAAAGTATACTAAAGTACAAAGTTCTTCATGGAACTGGTTTTCTATTATGCATATAATTTTCTTACAAAACATTAAACTTTTGTGAAAACTTTTGCCTTCTTTAAGTACTTCTTTATTCTGTATTATTAAAAACTACTTTAGGAAATAAAGAAGTGTTCTTAAGCGCTTGTGTTCCAAACTCTTTTGATTTGGAAATTGAGGAATCTGGAAAAAAACCAGCTTATACTTTGGCTTTACTTATTGAGAAAGCGCAGAACGATGTCTACGGCGATATATATGAATTCGAAATTGACTTTTATAAATACGTTTCATCTATTAAAGTCTTTACAATTTTACTTTTTTTATAAACTTCTGTAAGACACTTCTACATTTTTTCTATACAAGACGGATTCTAGCGCCAGACGCCTTTTAATTAACTTTTATGAAACTCATCGAGATGAAATCATTTCAAAAGTGATTGAAACTTTTAACGACTCAACTTATAACGACAAAAAAAAGAGTTCTATATCAACTTTTGAGGAAAATCTTAAAGATGCTAAACTTTACGATGCTTTAAACCAAATATTACAGAAAATTGAAAGTGTTCAAGATCGTAATGGCCGCTTGTTAGTAATAAATGAAAAAAGTTTATATTTTAATTTTTAACTCTTTTAAAAAAAGAATAACTTCCAGTTTTCGAAAATTGCCATCCAAGCGGGCTTATCCAGATTATTATTCTGTTATCAAGTCTCCAATTTCCTTGGAATTTATTCAGGAGAATTTAGCAAATTATACAAAGTTTTTTATTATAATTACTTTGGCTTAATAGTTTTATTATTGTATAAAATATCTTTAATATGTCTATTACCATTGTTATTATTGTTACTTTAATTATAATATACAAGCAAACAGTTTGAGAAATTTAAAAATAATTTAATTCATAATTTATTAATAACTACCTTGTTTCACATAAATTTAAAGAAGTTTTCAATATTGGTTTTTGAAACAGTTAATTATACTTAATGAAATATAAAAAAAATATTTTATAGTTTTTTAAGTAAAATAATATTAACATTATAACATTGAAATCAAAATTTCAAAAATTGCCAATTTTTTTTTTGTAATTATAAAAGTTAGCTGACTATTTGTTATTTTATTTGTTATTGTTTATGATAAGTCGATTGAGTAAATTAAGTTATATTATTTATTAATAGTAATTTTAAAATCTAAATTTATTTTTTTTATTTTTTAAGTGAAATAATATTAAATTATCGAAATCTAAGTTTTGAAAGTTGTCAAAATTTTTTTGGTAGTTATCAAAAGTTAGCTGACTTTTTTTATATTATTAATTAGTAAGTTTTTTATTATTATTATAATTTTACTTATTTGGTTCTATTATAAAGTTTTTATCCATTTTTTATATGTTTCCTTGTATTTGTTTTTGTACAGTTATACTTTTCTTAATATTAATAATTTTTTTTAAATAAATTATATTACTTTTATAGTCTCCTTATATAATATTTTAAAATTTTTTTACAAAGGTTTTTTTTATGTATTTATTTTATAATTTTTAATAGTTTTACTTTTTATAATTTTATTTATTTAATTTGCTTAATTATAATCAAAAAGTTTAAGATTTTTAATAAAATTGTTTTAAATTTTAAACTTTTCAATGTATAAATTTACTACTTTTTTATTAATTACCAAAAATATAGTATTAATTTTTTATAGTATTTCGTATTACTTCTAATAGTTTTTATTTTTTTTCTTTTTTTTATATTTTTTTACTACTTATTTTATTTTTTGTTATAGTTTTTTAAGTTTTTATTATAATAGCTTTTTATTTTCGCGTATCTTATACATTTATATGAATTTATTTTTAATTTATCTTTTAACTAAATATATTACTATTATATATTAATTATACATATAAATATATATATTATATATAATATTTTTTATTATAGTTTTTCCTTTTTTTTTTCAAAATTTTATAATAAATTGTATTTAATTTATTTATAAGTATTCATTACTTTTTTAATAACCTTTATTTTTTATGAAAAAATTTAATAGAAATTTAATTTATTATTATTTATATTTTTTATTAATATTTTTAAATTTTTTTTATAATATTTTATATTAATTCGAAGAGATTTTTTAAAGCCTAGTTCCTATTTTAATTTATTTTAATATTTTTAATTACTGCAGTTATCAATTAGCTGAAGGTTAAATTTAAAAAAAAGTTAAACTTGGATTTAATATAATATAATATAATTTTATCAATAAATTAAAAATCAATATTTAATATTTATATTATTAGCAAGTTGAGTGTCTATTAAGATTTACAAAAAACTTTTTAAAAAAAATTAAAATATTCTGTGAGCCAAAGTAAAAATTTTTTAAAAAATATATTTTTGTGCTACTAAGTTATTTGTTTTTTTTTTATATTTTCTTTTATTTATTTATAAAATTTTAAAGTAAATTTCAATCATGAAAGTTTTACATTTTAATTTTTGACATATTTTTTATTATTATAATTTTATAGTTTTGTTTTTTTGCATGACTATAATTATAAAAGATATGTTTTTTACTAAATTTATTAAAAGAAAATGTTTATACGAATCCACTACAAATTTTAGTGCATTTTAATTAAAATATCTTTTGTTGATTTTCCAATAAATTAATAATACTGGAACATTAAGGAATTTAAGTTTTTTTTTTATTTTTCAATTTCCTTATTACTTTCACTTCATAAAAGGCTATTGAGTTAAGAACCTCTCGATTTTTTTTTAAAAGTTATTTATTAAATTAAAATTAAAAACGTTTAATTTATTATTTTTAGCAAAATAAAATATATAATATTAATTATTAAATTATTTTACTTGTTAAAACCTTTTAACTTTTATTATTAAGAATTTCTGTTTTTTAATTTTTTTCTGTTAATTTTAATGAAATTTCTATTTAACTTTATGAATTTTAAAATTTAACTTTATGAATTTTAAAATTTAACTTTTTTTTAAATATTTTTACTATTAATCGTTAAAATTTTTCTCGAGCAAATGAAAAAAAAATTGTTTATTTAGTTTTGAAGATTTTGAATCGAACTTTCGGTTAATGATTAAAAATGCTAAAAAGTATAACGAAATTAATTCTGAAATTTACAGAAATGCTAAAAAGCTGGAGAAGGTTGATAAATATTTATTAACAAAATTTTCGAAGTGAATCATTCAAAATCTTATTTAAATTTTTAATTTTATAATTAAGTTTACTAGAAATTTAATTATAAAAAAGTTTTTATTATAAAATTTTGAATTAATTAAAAATTTTTATATTATCTAGGAATAAATATTTTTTACTTTCGAATTATCAAATTAAATTTTTTTTAATTTAAGAAAAATCAAGATATTTTCTTTTTTTATATATTTTATTTAAAATTTTTGGTATATTGAAATTTTTTTTAATTTTTTAGAAACTTAATGAAATAGACAAGTTTTTATATTTAAAATAAGATATTAGTTTTTCTATAATAGTCATTTAATAAGAAATAAAGTTTTTACAATTATATTTTTTTGATTTGTTTTTGTATAAAAGGAACTTTTTAATTTTTCCAATTTATTAAAAAAGTTTTAATAAAATTTATTTTTTTAAAATAATCGTGTATTAAATTAAAAATATAAAAAATATTCTAAGTTTTACGAAATAATAAAAAATAAAAAAGTTTTCAATAAAATGTTTCTTATTAAAAAATATAATATTAATAAATAATCTAATAAAAAAATATAAAAATAAACTTAATGGATTGCATAATTAATTTAAAAACAATAACGGTATACTTAAATATTATAAAAAAATTTAAAAATGTAAAAAAGAAAATATAATTGTTTTTAATATGTATCCTATTTATAATAATAATAATATAAATTTATAAAAAAGCATTTTTAAATAAAATAACCTTAAATAAAAATATTAATAAAAAAAATATTTTAGTACATTTTCCAAGTTTAACAAAAAATAAAAAAAAACTTAATGAAATGTATTATAATTTTAAAAATAAATACAATAAAATGAAATATTACAAAAAACCTTTTTATGTTTACAGAATGTTAAAATAAATTTTTTTATAAAATACTAAAAGCATAATAAATTGTATATTAGGAAAAAAAATTAATAATATTTATTATACATCTGAATAGTTTTATTATTTGCTAATTTTTTTTTATTATGCGATTTTTGTAATTTTTATAATATAAATATACTTAATAAATAAGTAAAGTTAAAAAAATGCTTTATTTTATGAAAGTTTTATTTTTTTAGAAAACCGCATTAACTTATTAGTAAATAATAACGTGTTCAAAACTTTTACTTTTTACTTGAATTACTGTTTAAGTACCAAAATCTTTTTGATTTACCAAAATAATAACTATATTAAAGGTATTTTTTTTTTTAAAAAATATTATAAATATATTTCGAAGTTCGGCAATTATATTTTTATATATATAAAGAATATAAATTTTACTTTGGATTTTTATATTAAATGTATTCTTTAGTAAAATATTTTTCACGAAATATAATTATTTTAACGTTATTAATGATTTTGTTTGGTTAAAAGTAATTTTCTTTAATTAATAAATATAAAAAAAAATGTGGTAAATTTAGCAATTATATAATTTTTTTTTAAAAATATTACAATGAATTTATTTAATATATATTTTATAACAAATTTTAACTTTTTACAATATTCTAAAATACCTATAAGTTATACTTTTCTATAATTTAATTGTACAAATTAGTCAATTTATTATTTATGAATTTTCAGAGGAGGTTAGATATAATTTTTTTACTAATCAAAATTTTGTGGTTTTTTAGAATTTTTAGTTTTATATAAATCCCAAATTTTAAATGTTTAACAAAATGTTAATAAATTAATATAATTTTTTTTTAAAAATTAATTAAACTTAAATTTATAAATTTATTCATTTTAAAAAAATTTAATATATTTAAACTTTTTTAAAAGGTTTTTGAAAATTGTAAAGAAATTTATATGAAAGATCTACAAGCTTTAGCCAATCCCCCAGTCGATTTTAGCAAAGTTATGAAAATTTACCAAAAACGAAAGAACTTTTACCTAAAAAGTTTTCTATATATACAAAATATTTTTTTATTAATTTTTTAAATTCACTTTTATATAATAATATAAATTTTTTTAAAAAAATATTTTGAAAAAGTTTTTTTCCCTCTATATTTAAGATTTCTCTGTTAAAACGAACTTTTAACTAATAAGTATATATATAAATTTTCATACTAATTTTTTCAATGTACTTTTAAAAAAAATGTAAATTTTTTTTAACTATAAAATTTTTATAAATAAAATATTATTTTATATTTTTTTTTTTTCAATTTAAAAAAAATTTTCATTACTAAAAGTTTTTCTTTCTAATTTTTTTTTGAGATTTTTCTCTTAAAAACGGCAACGATATAATTTCTGTTAGCGAAGAATCTCCGCTTTATAAAGAAATTGAGCGCGCTCCAATAGAAAAAAATAAATTTTCTATTTTGAAAGAAGTTTTGAACTTCGACTCTTTGGAATATTATCGTTTTGTGCAAATGAGAGGTTAATATTTTTTTATAAAAAAAAAGATAAGATTTAAAGAAATTTGTTACAAATTAATTGTTCCTATTTGTAATTAATTTTTCTTTTTTTTAATTCTTTTTTATAAATTTACAGTAAATTTTTATTTTTATATTTAATTAGAAATTAAAATTATAGAATTATGAATTTTTATTTCTATAAATTTATGCATTGATTTTCTCTATAATTTTTAATTTTTCTTTTAAGCTTATAACTTTAAATAATACGAAATTTTATTTTGTTTAAACTTAGTTAATTTATTATAAAATTTATAATTTATTGAATTTGCATTTAATTTTAATTTTATTTATTTTTTTACAAATTCAATACATTATTACATTTTTATAATTTCTAGAAAATTGTTTTAAAATGAATTATAATTGCTCAAGTTTCAGGATTTATATTATAAATAATATGATTATTTAATTTTTTTTTTAATAATTTTTTTTTACGTTTAAAATATTATTATATTTCTCTTTTATTTTTTAAAAATTTAATTTTGAACAAATTTGAAACTTAATTATTAAATTTGCATATGATTTTTATTTTTTTTCTAGAAATTAAAATTGTACAAATTTGAATTGTAATTGCTTTTAATAAATGTTTTTTTAGTAATTTCTTTTTTTTTTTTGTTCAGTGGAAAGTTTTTTTCTTTTACTTTTTATAATAATGATTTTGTTTCATTTTCCTAATAATGTTTTTTTATATCAAATTTTTATTATATATTATAAAAATTTTTTTAATCTTTATTTCAGTTTTAGAGAATTGTTTTTTTTAATAGATAATATATCCGAATTTCTTTTAATTAATTTATAGTATTTTCCCTTTATTTAAAAATAATAATCGCACTATTTATAAATAAATTTTTTTTAATAAAGTTTCAGTAAATATTTTTTTTGGTTTAAATCTCATAATTTTATTTTAATATTTCTCATTTTTGTTTTATTTGCTAACAATAATATAATCGTATGAAAATAAATTTATTTTTCTCATTAATTTATATTGTATTCAGAAGAATTTTTTTTATTAGTAAAAATAATATTATTACTAATTCAGTATTGATAAATATAATCATATTTGTTTTCAGTTCTTAATATTTATGGCATTGATTATTAAGAATATTTTTTTCGTACAATTTATATAACTATATTGTTTTTTTAAAATTTTAATGGTTCTTTTTTTTGGTGTAGGGGTATTTTCTCTAAAATATTAATTGTATAAAAAAATTTAAGAGCTTGTTATGAGTATTTTTATTTTTATGATCTGTAGAATTTTCATTAACAAAAAAATTTATAAAAATTATAAATATAAAAATTCAAATTTGGTTTATTTTTATAAAAGTTTGGATATTTCTTCTCTTTTTGGTGTAAAGTTTTATTCTTATTAAAAAGAACTAGTTATTGATTTTAATTTAAATTAAAATTAAATTTGTTTTTAGTTCTCTTTTATATTATAGCAAGTTTCCTATGGAATTTATAATAATGCAAAAATCAGAAGTTTTATTTTTATTTTTAAGTGTAGCAGTTTTTTTTATCAAAAAATAAAAATTATTTTTAATAATTAAGTTTAATTAGAAAAATTTAAACAGAATTTTATGCTTTTCTCTAATTTATAGCGTTTTTTCTTTTATTATTTATAAATATAATTGTAGAAATTTAAATTGAATTTTTTATAAAAGTTTTATTACTTATTATTTTTTAGTGTAAAGGTATTTCTAATATTAAAAAAATAAATTTTATTAATTTTAATTATCATAAATTTAATTTTTTTTATATATTTTAATCTTTTATTTATAGCGGTTTTCCTTTCATATTAGAAATTAAGTAAACGATTTTTTTTAATTGTTTATCCTTAGAAGAACATCAGTTTATATCAATTTATTTATTTTTATTTAAATATAAATTCTGGATCAATTTTGAGATTTCTTATTGCAGTTTTCTATTTTTTTTTTTAACAAAATTAAATTTGTTATTCATTTTTATTAAGTTTTTATATATTTTTGAATTTTTTATTGATTATATTCATTTTATTAATTATATATGAATGATTTAATTTCCGGATCAATTTTTAATTTTCCATCAACTTTTAGATTATTTTTTGCAATTCCAATTTTCATTATTTTCTGTTATATAACAATTTTTAGGTAAAGTTAAATTATTTATATTATTATTATTAAAGTTTTTTTTTTTATTTTTCAATTTTTAATCAAAGTTATAATTATTTTATATAAATAATATAATTTCCATATCAATTTTTATTTTTATTATTTTTTTGGTAAAAGTTAAATTTGTTAATTATTTTTAGCAAAATTTTACTACATTTTATAACCTTTAATTAATAATTATATTTATTTTATATAAATTTAATTTCTGAATCAATTTTTTAACTAAATTTTATATTTTATTTTCCTAAAAAATTTTTTGTAAAAGTTAAATTTGTTTATTATTTTCAGTAAAGTTTTTATATATTTTAATAATTTTTAATTTGTAGGACTTAAAGCAGTTTTGCAGTGTGGCCTCTAAAAATTATTTATTTATAAATTAAATTTTTTTAAAAGTCATTTAAAAATTTTATATAAAATTCATTGTATATTATTTCCTTTTTCTTTTAAATTTACTTACTGGCCAAAACTTTACTAAACCTATAAATAATAATATAGCATTATATCTTTTAAGTTCTTCTGAATCGATTTAAATATAATTTATAAAACATAGTAACTTGTTTTAAAAGTATTCATATATTTATAAACTTTAAGTAGAAAATATAATATTTTCCGTTTCAAAGAAATAATACTTGACACTATTTTTTGCTACTCTTTTAGAGATTTGTGTGATTCAAAAAAAAGTCAATATTTTTAAAAAAATTAAAAATTAGGAATCGATAATAGTTTTCATTTATTTTGTTAAAAGTCTAAACTTAAAATTTTTTGAAGACACTAAAAGGTATAAATTATTAAACTACTTTATACTAAAATAATTTACAAAACAAAATTTTTTAAATTTTAATTTTGAAGTTTTGGAAACTTGACTTTATCTTTTTTCATTTCGTGGCGACTTTAATAACTTTTTCTACATTTTATGTTTTTTTTGTATATCCGCAGGTCACGTGTTACTTCGGTTGCTTGAGAATTTTTCCACATGTAGAAACTCGTCTGGAGCACTTGAGGTATCTTTAAAGTTTCAGTAGTAATATTTTATACGCCACGTGGTGCGTGTTGTAGAACTCATCGGACTTTAGTCCTGTTAAAAGTAGACTTCGCTTACCGCCTTTTAATGGTCATTATTATTACTATAATTGTTACTATTTCATTTATTACTATATTATTAAAGGCTATCAAAAACTTGAGGAAGTTTTTGATGACGTTCGCTCGTGTTATGAAAAAGTCTCGCCTGCGAGAAAAGCTGAACTTCTTGTACAATTTTTGTTAGGCTTTTATTTATAATGAACAAATTATGTTCAGAAAATTACGAGGACGTTATGGCATTTTTTCTCAGATGAAAACGCGTGCTTTCGGGTTATGAAGTCTCTAGTAGGCTTAAAAGATAAAGAAGGAAATTTTCTCCACGAGGTACCTCTGCTTGATCCACCGACTAGCTCCTGGTTGAGCCTTTTTATTTGTTGGGTATAGACTTTTGCGGAGCTTCCTAGCAAGGAGGATTATCCGCTCTATTATAAAGTACGCTTATTTCCACGTGCTTCTATTTTCAAGCTTATTGGTTACTTTTTGAGATCATCAAAGATCCTGTGGATCTTGAGCTTGTTTCTTCAAAACTATTGGCATTTAGCTACTTTCCAGCGGTGTTTCAAGAAGTCTATAAGGAAATCACTAACGCATGTGTTTCTACGAACCCTATAGGTATTTATATGCTTTATTAGTCCTTCTTTGTTTGAACTCTACAAAGTTTTAGAGGGACTTGACTCTCACTCTTCTCTTTTAATGAACTTTATAAATGATCTTTATTTGATGTGCAATAACGCAATGGTAATTGGTTTAACTTTACACAGTCATTCACTAAAAAGCCTGCCATTTCCGCTCCCAGCAATTCAACGACAACCATTCAAAGCCGTATATGCACGCGCGGCAGCTGAAAGAATCTCTGGCTGACTTCGTAGAAAAGCAGCTAGACGACCACGAGGGCGAAAGGTTGGGGCAGTTGCAACAACCCTCGGGCACGTCCCACGTAGACGTTCTAAGTTTTTTTCAAAAACTACTTCTGGGCTTTATTGAAGAGCTCTGCCTTATTCAGGAGAAGTCTCTTTCGATTATTGATACAATGAAATAATAATAAATGAACATATTTAAAAGCGGCTTGAATATTAGTGAGGCTTTTCATACTTTACCATTAAAAAAAGTATATACAGACTACTACGTTGTTATTAAGCGCCCCATTGACTTGAGCATCGTCAGAAAAAGAATTCATGGTTTCATTATTATTATTATTATTATTATTATTATTATTATTATTATTATTATTATTATTATTATTATTATTATTATTATTATTATTATTATTATTATTATTATTATTATTATTATTATTATTATTCATACTAGAAGGAGCGTACGAGAGCGTCCGGTCGTTTTTAGAGGACGTCGACCAAATATGGGAAAATGCCAAGCAATACAATAAAGAAGGGTACCATATTCGTTACTTTCCTGCCTCCTTTAGATATATCTTCCCCAAAAGGTCGGATATTTACCGCCATGCATGCACACTACAAGCCTTTTGCCGCGCAAAAACGAAGGAGTTCGAGTTTGTGCTGCATTTTGCCTCCTTTATAAATCATTATTCTCGGCGAATACGGAAGTATTATTTTTAGGCGTCAGCTGTTCGCTCATGAAGCTCACGTGTCTGCGCCAAAAGTAGAAAATAGAACGCACATGGGGTCATATCTTGAATCAACGCACTTTTAATATTTTTTTGATTTTTTCTTAAAGCCCTACCAATAGGAAACAAAGCAAAGTAAAGGCGCTTGAGTTACTCTTCTCGTACGTCCTTAAAAAGCTTGAAGGCCTTAAACAAAAGTTTCATTATTTATAAAAAAAAAATTTTGCCTCAAAATTGACCTCGCTGGACCTCTCTACCAGTCGGGAGCGCCTTTGCACAGACTTTGAAGTTCTTCCAGACAAAAGGGACTACCCGGACTATTATAAGGTTATCACGGCCCCTCTGGACTTGGCAACGGTGCGGACTCGCTTAGCGGCGGGCTATTATAAGAAAATGAAGAGCTTTTGGCGGGATTTGAATCTCATATGGACCAACGCGCAGTTCTACAACGAGGAGAAGTTCGCTCTTATTCACTGGATTTCATATTTTTGCTGACTCTTTTTTTTGCCTCGAACTCAGCTCGGCCATTCACCGAAATGCCAGGATTTTGCAAGACTTTTGCCAGAAGCTTTTGAGGCGGGCAAAGTTCCGTTTTCCTTTTTTTTTTAATGATTTTTTTATTTCGGTGTAATTTTAATCTTATTTCTAGTAAAGCTTTAGTGAAGTGGAAGAAAAACTGTCGTTCTTATATAAACTGGCAAGAAGTTTTAGAGTCGGAAGGCGTCGAGGAAGCGTCCGTCCCCTCCTACGCCCCAATGAGTGTCAAGAACGAACATAACTCCACGAGAACTGTCTGTCACATAGACGGAAAGTTGCCAAAAATGGCTGAGTCTGGCGTATTTCTCTCTAAAGAAAGCGCTTTGCTGCAGTTGAAGCTCTTGATATGCGAAATGGTCATTATTATTATTTTCATTATTTTTATTATTACCATTACCAGTGCTGCAGCTTGCCGTGATAGAAAACGAGAATGGTTTCCGCATTATAACCCCCTTTCTTACTCTGCCCAATCAACACGACTTTCCTGACTACTACGAAGTTATTCAGGTCTGTGACCGGACCCTTACTAGCCCACTAATCCGGTTAATTACTGATCCTTACAGAGCCCTATTGACTTCAACACGATTCGAGAAAAGTCCGTTCTCGTGGACTATTCCATGGAGAGCCTTATTGAGGACGTTGGTCTGCTATTAGCCAACGCCCGCGCCTATAATGCCGAGGGAAGCCAGGTTTCACTACATTTCTGCCTGCTTGTATCTCTCGGGCTTTACTGGTTCGCCATTTTTTGTTGGGGAGATCTTCCGGGAGAGCATTATTTTGCATGGCCAATTCCTCCGTTTTATAGCATTGTTCTGGCTCCCTTTTGTAAGTTGCTGCCTTTATTATAATCACTCTCAGTTTGTTGGACTTTAGTTTGCGTTCCTTTTAATTCGTCATGTACCCCAAACAGCAACCACCTACCCAAATGTGTAATCTTGACTTTATCTGCAACGAAATGGACCATCTTTGGAAACTACAAGAAGAAATAAAGTCCGCCAAATACGAGCTTACAGATCTTGAGACGGACAAGACACATCCATTGGACGTTGTACGGGCACCCATGTAGTTTCAACAGATGTACTTCTACTGTTTTATTTTTGTTAGGTGACCTATAAGGGCGCGACATACTCTCCCGGCGCTTTTGTTCAGCTCGTCTCTCCACGTGAGAACGCCCCCCACGTGGTCCAGATCCAAAAGTTGTGGAAAAACATGAGCGATAATAAATATTATCTCTACGGCAGATGGTTTCTTGTTATTATTATTATTATTATTATTATCTTTATTATTATTTCTCAGGTTTTATCACCCGCACGAGATTTTTCATTCGCCCACTCGCAAGTTTTATAGAAATGAAGTATTTAAAACGAGTAAGTGAGCGAATACTGAACATTGCCCACCTTTTTTATATCATATTTTTGGATGAAGGCTTTTTTCACACCAACAGTTTTGATAAAGTGATCGGCCCCTGCTGCGTCATGCACGTGAGAGACTATGTCCGCTATTACCACAAAGACTTTCCAGAAGAACGAAAAGGAACCGCCTTGACCGTATTCGTCTGCGAGCTCAAATACGAGGACAAGAACCGCCAGTTGTCTCCAATAAAAAAATGGGAATGTCCAGAGAAAGAGTTTAATTAGTTCTTATGCATATATAACAGCAATGATTGGTTTACATTCTTTGGAACATTTCATTGCAGGACGCACTATCTTTCCAGAACCGCGCCATTGGTGATTGGCCGGTCAATGCCTTCTTTGCAAGCTGTGAGCCAGCAATCCTCCCAGAAGGACACTAATTACTCCTCGCTGGTTTTTCCTTGTAGACCTCTTGTTATTTTTTTTCACTTTCTTCTCTACCCCAATCAGAATGAAGTTGAGAAAATAAAGAAGTTTAAGGCGTCCACCGTACAACCGGCAACCAACAATAAGAGGGTCTTTTACAAATACTACATGTTCCGGAAAATTCTCTATCAGTGCGGTAGTAACCGTGTTATTCCCCTAACGCATTCCCTGCAACGCGAGTTCCACCAATAGGCGATTGCGTATACGTCCATGTTGCGCCCTCCAAAACACGTTGCATTGTGCGAATAGAAAAAATATACGAGGCCGACAGGTTTTTACTGCTGTCCATCTCCGCGTGGTCTTTTATCCACTGCGAAATGCTGAAGGGCCTCTTGGATTTCCGGCTGCTGCTTTGTAAAACCGCAAGGTGCAATGCTCTCGGAAAAAAGGTTCACTAAAAAAAATTCATTTTTATGCTTTTCCCATTTTATGTATAAAAGGACTTTTTACGAGCGCGAATACCTGCTTTCCAGTGAATCCAACTGCTACATGATGAGTAGTATTTCTGCAAAATGTTCTGTTCTTCCCCTCTCGTGCGTTGTTATTCGTCACCATTTTTTAGTGAGAGCCACTCATTGGCCCTTTTTTATTCATTTTTACCTAAGCAGACTTTACGAAAAACGCCGGCCTTATGGGGTGCCGGAGAAGGATGTGTATACCTACGAGTCTCTTTATATAGATATTAAGGTTCCCATTGGCAAGAAGTTATAATATAGCCCTTCCCAATTGCTGCTGCAGAAGCAAATAGTGAAGGACAGCTTTTTTAACGAAAACGACTACATTCTCAAGTTTGGACTCTTGGAAATCTCGCAACAAGTACCGCTCCGCTCTTATGTTCTCTCGCCCGCCACTGAAGGTCAGAAACAAAAAATTTTACAATTCTTTATTTCTATAGAAAAACTGAAGATTTTGTAAGGAAAGTTTTTTTGTAAACAAATAAATGTTGTATAAAAATTTTAACTCAAAATTTGAGCAGACCTAGCGAACGACAAGGAACTTATCGGGAAAATATCAGTCATTATTTGTATTATTATTACTTTTTCTTGCATTATTAATCGTTTATGTTTTGCTACAGGACGACCTCCAGCGACGCATCAGCGATCCTGTCTTTCTGCATCGCCCAATAAGCAAATTACCTCACCATTGTCGTTGGCTTTCCTGCGGACTGTCTTTTTCCAATGAAATTCACTTGCTCACTCACGTGATGGTTGCAATCCTTCTCTTTTTAGTAGATTTAAAATATAACAAGCGCCATGCATAGACCACTCATGTGATGAACAGCCGAAATTACACGTGCAACTGGTTGTTGGTAAATATATACAAACCGCTCTGCGAAAAACGGCTAATTGATTTTTTTCCCCATTAGTGCGAGTCATCGCACCTCACGTGCCCTAATGCGAATGCTTTGATGGACCACGTTAAGCGTGCTCACGTGTACACTACCGACTGGCCGGGCAGTCTAGCCCCCGTCGATCGCAAGGTCAAGTTTTAATAACCTCCTCTCTTCTCGTGCTTTGGCATATCTTTCTTTTTACAGGCCTATCAAAGGTTTTTAGAGGCGACCAGCACCACTCGCGGTGCTAGTGCCTTACGAAGGGATATATACGTGAACGATCAGACGCTTCTTTCTGAATTAGTCTTACAGGCAAGCAGCAGAAGTAAAAGTCGCTTGGGCCACCCGACTGGGCTTGAAACCGCCATTCAGGCTTACCCTTTTCCCGAGACGAGAGAACTAATGGCTTCTTGGAAGCACATGGATAGTAGAACCCCTCCAGAAATGGAGGAGTCCTCCTCACTTTCTGGCGTTCTAGAAACTCCCAAAGAAACTTTTTGGAAAGAAGAGGGCGTGTATCTTTCACAAAAATACATTGATTATAAAATGTCGCAGGAGGCAGCGCACGAGGCAGAACCCGCCGTAAACAGTGATACGGGGGAGGGAGGCACACATGATAATACCAAACCCGCCGAGATATCGGAACTTCTTGAGAGATTGACAAACAGCCTGAACTACGACGTAATGATCCACATGACACTTCTTTCTTGAGCTACCAGAAGCTTAAAGGAAAGATAAAGTTAATGTATTATAATAAACCGATTTTAATATATTTATGCTAGATTTACTTCTAACATTAAGTTCACAAATGTGGTTTATAACAAGGTAAAAATTATGAGGGTGTAGTATATAATGTATGACATACAGTTGCGCAATTTATTCTCGTCTATGACCCTTTAACTGGGAAGTCGATGTGCCTTTTCGGCGTTGCGTTTCAATAAGAAATTATTTATAGAAAGAGTAAGATTTTAAAGTTAGTTAAACTATTTACAAGCTTTATATAAAAGCGGAAACAAAAAAAAGGACGGCGAAAAAAATATATATTTGCAAATATACTTTTATTTACTTTTATGTATGGAGCCTTATAATCAAACATAAAAGGCAGTTGAAGTAATTTATTATATTAAACGACTCGTGCTTTGTAGAAATTAGCGCACACCTCGCTTTGAACTGCAAAGCGATACATCGTTTATTCAAAAGTATAATAACATCAACTACAGTCGCACTCTCTATGCCAACTCGGACAAGCGACAAGCTACTTAGCGAAAAGTTTTTTTATACCATTATCACTTAGAATAGCGAGAATAGTCGATATCTAAATGTTTCATTTTCTTTTAATATGATGACAGCGTATACAGGACTTATAAATTAGATAAGCTAATATAAAAGTGTTTTAAGTATTTTTTTCTAAAACTTTAAAGCTTCCTACTACTGTTTTTTAACGCTTTTATTATTTTTTTTCAAAAATGTATCGATAACTGCTTCAGAATGAATGGTTGCCAACAATATTAATACGAGGCGGGTAAGGAGACCTACCTCACGTGAGAGCTTAATGCTTGCCAAGTAATAATAACCAAAATAATTTATAAAAAGTAGTTCTTTATTTTCAAAGAACAACAAATCACAAAAACAACAAAAAAAAACAATGCCGCCTAAAGAATTTGTGCTTCTGCTTGGGAGTAAAAACTGAGACTTCTTACTATATAATGTTAGCAGTTTACTAACTTTATTCTACTATTACAGCTGAAAAACAACCAGAAAACGACAGCAAACTAAAAGCACAGAATTGGAGATAAAAATAAAAAAGCACGACAACAAAAAAATAGTTTTGGAATTCTCTTTTCCTTCAAGACTATCATTGGTTAAAAGCCATTGTTGAACTTCCAATAGACCAATGCGCTTTCATAATGAGTAAATTTCAACCAATCTGGTTTGCAATGGAGGAGGCAAGGCAGAAAAATATTTTTGCCAGTTTGCTAAATTTCGGTTTTTCAGTTCGTGCAACGTCTTTAACAAAATAGCCAAAGTTTGTTATTCTTATAGTGAAAACAATATAACCTTATGAAAGCAATTCAGCAAATCAGAGGGCGGTCTTGACCAACTTAAGATAGCTTGGCTGAATGTGTCCAAATTTTTGCCTGACAATTATAATAATTATAACTATTAATAATAATATAGAATAATAAATAATAATAATAATAGGACCGAAACCGTCAGGGTTCATAATGAGAATTTGGCAAAGACCTTTAAAACTAGCAACTTTTTGATCTCCTTCTTGAGAAATATACACCGCCCTGCACCTGCCCACAAAAAAGGCAAGTGTAACTATTGAGGCACACAATATTTATAAACGGCAAGAAACGAGCCAATCGTAGAGAAACTCCGGCAGAACATTTGCGAGCAAACTGGGGCAAACGAGGCCCAAACAGCCAATCGTTAACGCCACATTTTCGTGGAGCGAGACCGTAAGAGAGCCGTCGAGCAACATATTAATCAATCGCGTAGTAACCTCTTGAGCAAACGGCTCGAAAAAACGTACGTCGTGGTTAGCGCCTTTACAAGTAGAGAGAAAATTAACGAATCAAAGAGCACCGAGAAAGGGGGTAACGCACCCATTTGAATGGCGAGTTCTCCGAGCGCCCAGCACGAGTTGTTGCACACGCCAATGTGGGCAGCCGGATTAAGATTGCTAACAATGACCGGCAGAAAAGCAGAGAGTGTTGGTCGAATTTGCCCATAGCACGTGCGCGCAAGTTCGCCCAGCAGCGCAAAGCCGGTATGCAGGAGGTCAAAGTTCTATGTACAGCCAATGAAATTGCGCATTTTAATAAAATAAATATTAATGGACACCTTTTCCAGAAGATATTCATGCAGAAGAGAAACGAGAGTGCTATTGGCCACCAAAGGTTCAATACGAGAGCCCAGTCCTGGCAGTCGCACATGATCTCCGCGGCAAAGGAAAAAAAGTATAGAAAAAACCTTCAAGCAAAGAGTTGACCAGGTCCAGTAATGCTATAGCATAACCCATATCTATGGGAACCACCAAGGAATTTTGCTGGGCCGTCTAAGCGGATATGAGAAAATACTAATGAAACAGGTCATCACTCTCTGGCTTAAGTGTGGGTGTACCTTTCGAGATAGCAATATAGCCTCAACTAGCTTGAGGGACTTCACAAAGACAACTTCAGCAAAAGGTAAAAACTCCACACCTTATCCAGCTGCACGTGAGCGGCCAAAAAAGATATGCCACTGCAAAGTTGGACGGACCGAAGGCGATAATGACGGACGACAGGCACTCGGAAAAGGCTAAAAGAGAGTTCTCTTCGCCGGTGAATTCCCCCCAATGGGAGATGAGCGGCGGAAGAAGAAGTTGGGAGTACTCGGGAGTATTTAAGTGTGACGTAACGCACTCCGCAAGCGTGCCAATAGCGTCGTACAAAATCAGCATGTTCTTCCGCTACACAAAAGAGCCAGTTACCACAAAAAGTTTCTACCAGTTAAACTTATTGAAGCACCTGATACTTGTTTAGCGCAGAAACCATGTGCTTTAAAATGGGATGAAGATAAGGAACCAATAAAGTGGTGGCTTCCTCTTCGATAGTGGCAAGCGCGCTGCAAGCGCATTCCTGCACATGCTTGTTGCTGTCTAATAGGCAGTCCAGCAAGCCGCTGAGGACGCCCTCAAAGTAGTGCTGACGAGGAATAATCCAAGAAGCGTAGCGGGAAAGCGTCCAGCACGTAATGGACCGCACAAGCGCCTGAAGCAGCGCCAAATTAACTCGCAATCATAAAAAAAAAGAAAACAACGGATTTACTTTCTGGTGTTTCAAAAACTTTGAAAGATACGGAATTGCTTGTTCTAAACGCCCTTCAAGTTCAGCTATGCAGCCTTCAGATACGGCGCCCAGTGCTAAGATGGCGCTCTCCACGTGGTCCCACTGAGAATGTTCGAGTTCTTTTGCTTTTTTTTAAATACAGTACGCCATTGAGATTTGTAGTCCTCGCAAGGGCGCGAGATAGACGGACCTATCAGAGGCATGAGGGGCTCTAGCATATGTCCTTGCAAAGACAATGACATGAGATCAAGAGTAGCTGCGCAGCATTTGCGGTGATTCCACTTTGAAAGCTCGTCGGCATCTTCGGCGTCACTCACTTCATCCTCCTCTTCCTGCTGGAAAGCGAAGTCTTCGCGGCTCTAAAAAAAAAAAGGCAGTCCAAGTTGCGGTCACGCCGTTAAAAAGAGGGAAAGGCAAGACCATATGAGAAAACTGAAGCTTGTGTTTGGCTGATTTGGGACGTATAGAACGAATGTCGTCAGGACACATGTAATCCTCTTCGACATCCGCTTTGAAAAAAATTCTGTCCTCTTCGGAATATCGCATTCCATTTAACTGGAGATTTAAGTAAACCAATAATTAAAAAAAAAAGCACCGAATATAAAAAAAAACCAAAGCAGCTACAAGTTGCGGTAGAAATGGTTTCACCCATAACAAAAGTTGTTCACCCGGAAACTCCGCCAGAGCCAACCAGAATTCCCCTTAATTTTTTTTAAACAGGCGATTTACGTAATAAAAGCCTTAACAAACCAGCCTCGAGAGCCACTTCTTCGCAAGCATCTTGCAAGCTATTAAGCATAAATTCAAAAATGCGATCCAGAGAAGAAAAGTGTTTTGCAAGAGACTGCATCACGTGCACTTTCGAAAGAGCTAATAATAAGGGAAATATGAAATATATACCTTAACAGATTTTGCGAATGCTTTGCACACGGCAATTCGGATAGAAGTGTCTGAGTCGGATGCCATTTGGAACAAAACTTGCACAAAAGAAGATAAATTTTTTAACAAAATGGGGGGAAGTTCATTTCCTGAATATAATAGAAAAAAATCTAGTAATCGAATCAAATTTGAAATAAAAAGATCACCAGAGATAAAGTGCAACACCGATTCCAAAGCAAGGAAACGGACGCGTGGCCGAACGTGGGTGCACAACTTATAATTAAAATTTACAAAGTTTTAATAAATAAACATACAATGTGCACACCTGCATAAATCTCGGAAGTAAAAGCTGAAGATTATCGTGTAAAACTTTTTGAGAAGAATAAATATCTTCTTGGTTTAATTTGGTGTTAACATCTTCGCATATAAGCGAAAAGCAGTAAACAGCTACACAGAAGCTATTAAATTTCTTAATAAAATATAAAAGATAAAAAAACCTCCTTCTACACGAGTTTCATCGGAAGAATTAAGTAAGTTATTTAATTGAGGAAAATAGATAGCGGCAGACTGAGGATCCGCCTGATAATATAAAATTTTTAAAAAATAAATCAGCGAGAAAAAAAATTCTAAATGACTATAAAGTTTTAAAAAACTAAAAATTCCTGTATAACACAAAGTAAAATAAGTCAATGGTCAGCCTGTATAATGGTCGCTATTAAGGAGGAAGTCACGTTTCTAATAATGAGCTGGTTGTCTCCGAGGCAAGAAATTGACTCTCTATCATTCAGTTCATTTACATTTAAAATTTATATTTACTTTTGAATAAAACATACTTTTGAATATAATCTAAGAAAGGAGATATATTTTTGTAAGCATTTAGAACGTTATTTTTTAGCATGATTGCGGACAAGGCTCTGGAAGTTTCTATGCTTGCCTCTTTGGAAGAAAGAGATTGCAAATGTAGATGTTCGTATAGATCAACTAATGATCAAAGAAACTAACCACTTAAGTTAAAAAAAAATTTAATAAAGGAAGTAACCCGTTAAGTGCGCTGTTATATACATCAGATAACAATTAAACTCGGGAACCAAGTTGAAATTGTTAAGGAAAGCTTGAACTTCGTTATTGCTTTCAGAAGGACCATTTTTACTTCTTTCTAATAGTTCAAGTATATTTTTTAACGAGTCAAACTGCGGCTGAAAAGTCATTATAATAAGATTGTTTGTGAACTCCCAAACCCAAAAACACTTTTAAGTACTAAATGAAGCCTGTAGCGATTATCCGGCCCAAAAATGAGGCAGCATATATCACGCGACCACTAAAGCTTATGTGTGTATAACTAACCAAGCCCTTCTTATGTAAAAAACAAGTAAAAACTATAAAAAAAAAAATCTTATCTCTTATCTTATTTTACAAAAATACTTTAATATAATATAGTTAGGAAATGACTAAAACAGCTGCAAGTGAAATAAAGCAGAAAGCGGTGAATGTTATTCTGGTTGTAGGTGTTTAACAATATATCTTTTATATTAACAATTAGTAAGACTGTTTAGCTAAAATTTGCTTCTTCTCTCATACACACTGCCAAACTGCCTAAATAAAAAATATTGTAGTGACATAAAAAGGTTTTTAGCTATGTCGTATTTACTGTACTTACCATTTAATTTTTTTTTAAAAGAGTATAGATTGTTCATGGCTTACTAGAGCAACGGATCCAATAAAATTTTATATAGGTAATTAGAAAAAGCTGCCAAAAAGTTATTAAAATTTCTCGCATAGCGAATCTTCTAAAGACAGTGAATGTAATATATGATATATAACAAAATTTTATTTAAGGAAAGCAGTGGAAGATATATTTTAGAGCGTTCACCTCCAAGGAGCTTAAGAGAATGTATTTGGTTGCCGGGTGCGCATTTTAAAATGTCATTATGTGGAACTTTAACGGGATAAATAAGTAAAACCATCATACCGGGATCTAAAGTTGTCGTCGTTATAGCTTCAGTAATTAAGAGCACTGACGCGCGTACTCAAAGTCGTGGGTGCGATTTCCACCGACGTGATATTCCTCTTTTTCGGTATTGGTGTTCGCGCGTTTAAGCTTGCCCTCATATATTCCATGTCATAAGCACGAGGTTCCAACCAACGGAGCTATGACGACGGCTCTCGATCTTGGTATGATGGTTTTACGTATTTAACCCGTTAAACTTGTGTACTCTTATAACGGATTAATCGCACTCAATCTAGGGGCGGCCTCTTTCAGAGTGGCGGTTATTTTCAACAATTAACGCAACTATAAACAGTATATTTAGCATAGCTAAAAAATTAAGGGAAAAAAAGGTCAAACACTAAGCTATGAAATAATCTCTTGGCCCTCAAAATAGATGGAAATTTTTTAAGAAAAATGCAAAATTTAATTTACACTTGGAACACGTCGCCTAAAAAATCACTTCAAAGTGTCCCCTCTTAAAGAAATCCATACTACTATGATTTAGTCCCAATTCAAGTGATACGTGTCAAATTTGTTGCCATTTGCCCAGTAGTTATCAAAATATTAAAACTATAGTGACTTAACCTTAGTTATTTTATAATAATGGAAAAAAAAGAATTTCGTGTGACGATTAAGTATTTTTTTGATGGGAAAAAATACCGTTTAAGCTCAGTAATAACTTGAAAATTGTTATAAAAAATCTGCTTCGTAGAAAACTGCAATTTTTTCTGAATTTAAACGGGTCCGTACGACAAAAATGATACTAGACGCTCTGGACGCCCAAGGCGTTTACTTTAAAAAGTAACTTAAATCAAAGCACTTTAGTATACCTCTTATCTAGTTGTCATAATTGGTTGAGGGAGCTTTTTTTTGAAAGTATTTAATTAGCTTCCCTTTTCTAAGAAACTTAGATAAGTTAAATTATACGACTAAAGTGGTTTTCTGTAAGAATATAAGCCCGTATCTCCCTATACTTTGGTAGCGCACACGCCGATAATATATGGGTTTTTTAGAGCCAAAAGTTGTTTTTTATGTGTCCAAGCTGCCTTTTTATATTACGTTTATTCATCCTCCGCGGGGTCCGGAGATCTGGTTCGGCTCACGACTATCCTACAGTCTCCGCTATCCTGTTCAACTAAGTTTTCCCTTTAAAAAGTTAAAGAATGTAAGCAGATCCTTTTTTAGTGCTTTCGCCTACTACCTAGTCATCCCAAGGCCCGGGCTTGCCTTGCCTACTTTACCGTTGGTTTAAGCTGATTTTTACTCTTAAATGAATATATCGGTGTGCTCTCATAGACAAGGCCTTGTAACGACGTCCCGAACTTTTGTTCAGCATTTCTCCAAAGCCTTGGATACACACAAAGTCACCTACCCCCTCTTGATGCATTCTTTAAGCAAGGCCTTTCTGTCACAACTCTTCTTTATATGCTTTTTTAACAAGACAATAAAGCCTTTTTTTAAAACAAACACACTTTATTGCCAGTTTTCTCGGTGTATTTACACCTATATAGAAGATGGAAAAATTATGCCCATTTTTTCCAGGTTAATTTTTATACTATTTACCTTGTTTAATTTGTATTAAAATAAAAAAACTGGATCAAGTTATTGCTTACGTGTTTAAAAAAATAATTTCCCGTTTTTTTTATTAGTTGAAGTACTGGTTACTGTCGTGTTAGTCGCAACTAAAAATTAATCCTTTTAAATAAAATACAGCTGGTGAGCATAGCAAGTAACGAGAAAAAAAATTCCGCCTCTCAAATGCATTTGTTCTCTTCTAGATCATTAAGTGGATTATATGACAGTTTACAATTATCATAGTCGTGGAGTCTCTAAATTAAACTAATAAAAAGTTTAAAAATACATCGGCCGCTGAATTTTTTATTAAAGGAATAGCAGAAAAAAATGTTGGGTCAATGCGTATCTCTGCTGTCATTATTTGTGTCTGTCTACACATATAAAAATGGATTTGTATCTCACATAAACAAAAAATTTGATCTGCTTTATTAATAAAGAAGCACAAGAAACAAAACACAAATTCAACATTTTACAATACTTTTATATGACCTACTTCGCATAGTTCTGGCGTTAAACTTCAGAAGGTAGGAATGCTGAAAAACGAAGTCCTAATAATCTTTGTATTAAGTAGCTTTGTGCCACCACCGAAGTATTCTCTAATTTTCACGTATAACCTCATAATCTAAACGATTATAATAGGAACTAAATTTGATATACGATACAGTAGATAGAGCCCTGCCGTCAGGAGTTATAAATTTGGTAATGTCAAAAAAAATAATTAACCTAGAGATAATAGTTAAGGAGAAAGTTTACTTAAAATTGCCTAACGATCACTTAAAACAAGGGTATTATTTAAGAGATGTACAGCAGTAGTACTGTATGTACACATCGTGGGCTGCTAGTTACTCTTCAAAAATTGTGGTTATTTTAAAATTTTAAAGGAATAAAAGTAGGTGGAATAAGGGTTTCAATTAAAATTTTATAATAAAAATATTATTAGTAGTTCCTATTTTAAGCTCCTAAATAATAATTACATAGAAGAACTCATAAACTTGCAAAAAATATTAGAAAAGGTTCAGCAATAAAAATAGAACTAATGAGTATATTTATTTATTTTTTTTTTTACTAATGCTTTTAAATAACGTGTTATTATACCTCAATCTCTTTCGTCAAATCTAGAATACAGTCATAGTAGAAACCAAAAAAAATCAAAACCATTTCAGTATCTCTTTCATCAACTTTGGATTCCAGTCATTGTAGAAACCAAAATAATTAAAACCATTACCATCTCTAGAAGGAACGGGATGGGCACCTGGGAGTTCGTAAAACTTTGCTATGTTTTCAGCGTACTGAGAAGGGTCCCAATTCTTTGTGACTTCTTCGTTAAGAATGTTAGATTTTATATAACCATCTTCCAAGGTATTATATATATGATCATCCTTAAGGTAAGGGTGTCCATTTTTAGGAACACTAAACCCAAAAAACATTGCGAAAAGAGCAGAAAAATAAAATATACAGAGTTTTCCTAACATTTTCAAAGACAGAGAAAGAAAAACTAACTGTTGAAAAAACGTTTATTGTGTTCTCGTATATATATATATATTACTTCTTTAAAAGAGAATACGTAGATAAAAGCTTACATTATGGCGTAATATGGACTTTGGTTGTTTTTAAAGATATAACTTAGTTTCGACAAATTGACAATAAAAGTAAACTTTTGATAAACTATACTAAAAAATAAAATATCATGCATTCTAATAAAAATGACTTCGGAATTCCTTTATAATACTTTGCATCCGCTTATGAGTTTAGTTAGCTTACCTCGTCGGACTCTTAATATGTTATTTTTTCCACCACTCTAAACGTGGAATTCTTTTGTGAGGAATCCGGCATTAATTAATTAAGTTCTAACAATTAAGAATAAAACTAGTACATTACATGAAGGGTTAATTTAGTTTTTATAATTGCACGAAAACTGTAAAATTTTGTTGTATATATAAGCTTAAGACAAATTTATTGGGTTTTTTTAATAGTATATTTTCTTAATAACTTTCATCTTGCGGGATAGTAACATTTTAATGAATAAACAACAATAAAAAGTATTGCGAAAGCTTTCTTGTCCTACAAACTTTCGGTCATTCTTTTTATAAAATATATATAGAATCTTGCAATATATAAACGCCTATAAACAAGAGGAGTTAGCACTGAGTTTTCACATAAAAAGTAACACTAGTCTAAACATTGAGGGCCTTTAAGGGTTGCCATTTATTAACTTTTTTATAAAACTCAGTTAAATTCATTTTTTAGGAGAGCGCGCGCCAAGCGTCTTATGTTAACTTAAGATAAAATATTGCATCATGCGAAGCCGAGTTTAAATAGCTGTAAAGGTAAATGATAAATTCTTAAAGAAAAAAGTGGCCAAAGAGGTCGGTTGTTATATTAATTTGCACCAAACTGGTTTAACCTTACACAAAAATTTCTTAACCTTAGCTCACAATTATTAGTCAAAAATAAAGAATTTTCTCTACTGATTACCATCGTTACGTAATTTTTAACCACAAATGACTATTCTTTTGGCGTTCTTTACTAATATAAGTATATTTTATTTATAGTTTATAATTAGTAAA